GGCCGTAGACGTTGCAACTGGCCGTGCCGTCACAGGCAGAGTGGGTGGCTGCGATGAGGAGGTCGGCACTGCGGTCAGCTTGCGTCGTGGCGCATCACTGTCCGCCTCATAGATGCAGGACACCCGAATCAGCCGTCCTTTCGAAGCCGGCACGCCGATGTCCGTTCGCCCCTCCGCTCCCACCCCACTCTCCAGTTCGTCCCAGCCGCGCACCGACGTGTCGGAGGCAAGGTTCGCCGTGCCGAGTGTCGGCATGAACTCCGGCCCGCTTGCCGAGCTGCTCGATGGGGCGTCGCGGCTGCGCGTCGAAGCCGACGGCGTGCTTGGGACGTTAGGCGTCGTCGCGCCCATGAAGCTGTCCATGCGGGCCATCTTGTAACGTCGCCACCGAGCCAACTCCGTCGGCGTGAAGAGGGCCTCGTTCAGGCGCACAATCTCCACCTCGGAAGCGCGATGAGAATCCGCGGCATCGCCGACGCCCTCCACGTCACCTGCGCCGGCTGCGGCAGAAGACGATGGTGCGATGACGCAGCGCACATGGCCGTGAATTTTAGCCTCATCCTCCAAGAAGGACAAGCTGGAGATGCTGTAGCGACGCACCGGTGGTGGCGCGTGCGGCTCGGCGGCCAGTGCGTCGCCGTTGGGCTGGTGCGGCTTCCTTTCCTGCTGCTCTTCCGCAGTTGCTGCTGCAGAGGGCCCCTTTCCCCTGCTTGGCGGTGTTCCCCGTCCTGCGTTAGGCGCCACTTCCTTCTCCTGCTTGGACCTCTTCCCCGGTGGCTTCTGCGCCTTTTGCCCAGCGGAGCCACTGCTGCCCCGCCCGTCTCGCGCCTGCCCTTTGACATTCGAGGCAGTAACGTTGGCGGTGGTGAGCGAGCTGTGCAGCGGTGGAGCGGGGTCGGCGGCTACGCCCGCACCGTATACGTTGCCAGTACCATCCACATCGTCGTCGGTGCTGCGGCTGCGACTCGCCGGGGCACCGAAGGTGGCAGTGGCGTTAGTGGACGTCGCGCCTGCTGCGGAGTCGGCAGCGCCGCCACCGTTCAGCTGCGTCGTCCCCCTCTGCGTGTCCCCCAGCGCATCGGCGAAGTCGTCCAGGTCACTCAACGCGACCTCCTCCACCCCCTCCTCGTAGTCATCGTCACCGACAAGGTTATACTCACGAGGTAGGAAAACAGACGTGTTGGATGTGTCCGGGACGATGTAATCACAGTTGTACTCCCGCACCACCATAAAGGGTCGGCGCTTGTCCGACTGGCTCTTCAGCTCGCCGGCAGTGATGTTGTCGCAGTAACTCTCGTAGAGGTGGTCAAGGGCGGTGCCGGACACGACGCTGCTGACGGTGTTGCTGCGGCGCTCTGCACGTGCGGCGCCGTCGCCAGAGGAGGCACTCTCGTTAGGCAGACGACTCCGAGTTGGCGACCCGCGAGACCGGCTGCGCGCCTGCGCCGCGCTGTTTTTGCTGGCGTCATCGCGCGCGACAGAGGAGCGTCCGCCGACGCGCGTGGTCGGGTGTGGACGGAAGAAATCGCGGATGTGGTGCATTCTCTTTCACATATATAGGTGAGTCCGTTGCTATATACAAATATCTGCATTCATCGGCTGGACCACACACAGAAACGCAGAGAACAAAAAGAATACAAAATACAACTTTTCTTTTAGCAAAACCCGAAATGACGGTCAATCAGCACGTACCACAACAAACACCCACAAGGAAGCGGAAAAAAAAATGATGATGAAACGGCCTAAAAAGTCCTTCGCACCGTCCACGGAAGCTGGTCGGGTAATCACACCCGCAACCAAACAACGAACGTCAGCTAGACGGAGAGGAGAAGCTTTAAAAAGAGAGAGAAGAAAGAGAACAATGGAGACGTTGTTTTATATAATTAAAAGAAGAATAAGATAATAAGATGTAAAGGACGCTGATCGACCGACTTAGAAAGAAACAACGTTGGAAGTTGTCCACGAGTCAAACAATCCCTTTACAAAAGACACAAAATATATATATATATATATACCCTTATATAGGGAAAAAGAAAGAGAAAGAAGAGTGTCGCACGCCCAACAAAAATGCAGCGTCGTTGTGGCGATGTACACGCACGCGTTCCTGCGGAATGGCGTTCCGCTCTCTTTTCCCAACGTACACGTCCAAATCACAGAGGAGAAAGAAGGCCGGTAACGGCAACCCTGTGAAGCAAATACATATATTTGGAGAAAGGACGAGATGTGGAGTCACAACAAAGGGTATAAAGAGAAGAGAGACACAAACAAAAAGCCAGAATTATAGATAGATAGATAACAAGATAGATAACAAAGTAGTAGGACAAGTCAACTTAGAAAGGCCAAGCGGAAAGAAAGTTACTTAAGTGTGAAAGAAGATGACAAGAAAAAAAAAAGGATGTGAAAGGGCCGATGCGTCTTGGGGCGGCAACAGCGCGAGGGGGGCGGGAAAAGCAAACGGAGAGAGAAAAATCAAAATAAGGAGAGAGAGAGAGTACAAAATAGGCGTGACAGGGCAGAAGCCGCAGCCACAACAACAACGAAAAGCAAGAAGAAAACAAGAAGGCACCGAGAATTGGCGTTTGTATATCGAAGCAGCGGAAACGTGGAGTTCTCGCGGGAAGGCACACGCTTTTATAAGGTATTCCTTGCGGTGCGCCGTTTTGCTGAGATGTGTATAACTAATAATGAGGGCTATTATAATGGAAAAAAAAAGAGAAGAAAGAGAAGGTGATATCGACCACAACGCGGTTTATAGCATATACAAAACTTAACACGTATGCGGAGGTTGGCGCCTGTGGGTGTCTGTGCGTTGTGGTGTATTAATAGAACTGCGCGGCTGTCAACAGCGCACACACGTTGAATCACAGACACGATATGTAAAGGAAAGCGGCTGAGTGTGAATGAACTCACAAGCAGCGGTACCTTACTTGTTAAGAGTAACCGGCTACACTTCTTCCACTCTGCAGCGAAGAAAGAAAACAAAAGAAAACAAAAGAAGGGAGAGGGGAAAAAATTGGTAGTAAGCAGTGAAGCGCACATCGAATTCTGATACAAGGAAACATGGCAATACCCTGCTCTCGCGATGTGCGGTGGCGTATCGAAGGTCACATAATTCAATGAAAACGCATGTAGAGGCCGACGACTCAGCACGTGAAGGGCACACGAGACAAGACGCAACAGAATGGTTTGCAGAATAGAAACATACTTCATCGCTTTCCGCCGGCAACGGGCAGGGAAAGAAAGAGCCGCCGACAATAAAAATGAAAGAGCAATACCCCTCTCCAAAAAAAAGGGCTGCTTCCACACTTTACACACACAGTGATAGGAATAGGAAGGATTGATATTAATTGCCAATCAGGAACCCTTCAACGGGGGTTAAGTCCGTTTTCTTTTCCGCTTCATCTCCCTTTCCTTTACGGCGACGGAGACGACGCGGCGGGTGGTCGGGTGGACGGCGGACTCTTCTTCCCCATCAGAATCGCCAAGGCCTCCGCAATAGGAACACGTCTCCCCCGCCCCGCCCCTTCACCGCCTCCGCCGTCGCGCGAATGCTGCTGTCTCGCGGCCCGGTGCGCGTCGGTGGACGATGAAGAAGAAGAGGAGGAGGAGGCGCAGCGTGGCGCACCCTGCAGTCGCACGCGACGCGGCAGCGACTGACTTTTCGTGTCCACTTCACCCCGCACGCGGCCCTGCTCCAGCTGCTGGCGCTGCCGCTCGCGCTTCAACTCTTGACGCATCGACTTCTCTGCCGATTCGCGGGCCGCCTGCGCACGTCGCCGCTGCACGCGCTCCACCTCCCGTCGCACTCGCTTGATCAAGCGCACACAGCGCGCCACATGCGACGCCGGGTCGTCGTTGCTGCTTCGGACAGAGAGGGGAAGAAGCTCAATCCAGTACAACTCGCCGGGGCAGAAGGGAGAAGAGAGCGCAAGTGAAGACGATGATGACGACGCTGCCGTGCTCTGTTCGCCTTCGCCTTGGGGGATCGGAACACCGGCGCGTTGCACCGCAGCTGGAAAAGGATGCAGCTGCGCGCCACACCCGTTCAAGAGCAGCTCAATCGCACCGCGCTGCTGCACGACTGCGCCGTACACCTCCGCTGTTTCGAGCAGCGAGTACGACGACGGCGATCGCGCTGTTGCAGCTGGAATAGGAGTAGTGGCGGCGGCATTACTAGTGGGCGTGGGCGTCAGCTGTGCCTCGTACATCTTCTGCAAGGTCAGCAGATGCTGCAGAGAGGAGTAAAGCCCATCGCCAGCTTCATCGACAGCGTAGCACTCCACAAGATACGAAAGGAAAGGATGCAAAGCAGACGTTGCGTGATCTGCTGTCTCCGTCTTTTCTTCTTCTTCATCGTCGTCATCGATTTCGCTCGAAGCGTCCGGTCCATCTTTGTCACCGCTACCACAGCCCGCCGCCGCCGCCTCACGCGCCGCCCGCTCCAGCCGCACCTCCAGCGCCACCGACCGCCACAGCCTCTGCACTCCGAATCGCCGCGACTGCTGCTTACCCATGTACTCCAACAGGTGGCTCACCAGTCGACACGCCGCCGCTGCTTTACGGGCCGCTTCGGCGGGTTCATCGTGTTGCACCCACACATAGGTGGAAGGCACACCGATGCTGCCTGTTGTGGACACGATCGTGGCGTCTTGCGGCGTTGCCTCCGCCACCTCCTCTCGGGTGAAGCCGGCAAAACGGAGCAGCGCTGCACTCGCCTCCACCAGCAGCAGCTCCTGCGCCACCACCCTGTTCGTCCCGCGGATGCGTCTGTACTTCGCCTCGGTCGGGTGGGACTGCACGTTGCGAAAAAGACGGTCGGCGCAGCGAAGGGCCTGGGTGCGCACATCCACGATGTCGATGGGAGGGGACGAAGCGGCCGCCTGTTCAACGGGCAGGCGAAGCGGCGATCGACTCCACAGCTGTTGCCACTCCACCCGTGAACGCATTGGAACTGCCGCCTCCACAGTAGAGGGCGCCGCTACAGGCGCAGACGTAGCTAGAGTTGCTGCACTGGGTGGCGCGGACAGCTCAGCCGCATTACTCGCTTCTGGGGCCTTCAGCTGTTGTGCAGAAGAGTTCGCTTCGGCGACGGCCGTGGCAGCAACAGCGGCGGGAGGCCCACGTACGCTAGAGGTGAAGTTGCGAATTGTTGCCTGCTTGGCCGTGTTGAACTCCTCCTCTGTCAGCGCACCAAGCTTTAATAGCTCGTGCAGCTGCGCGATCTCACTAGCGAGCGAAGGAGCTGACATCTGTGAAGAATGCAGTGACAAAGAACTCAATGCAGCAAACCCCTTCAGCACCAACAAATGCAATAAATAATAATAATAGTAAACAGGTGGATAGAGTAAGGAGAAGAAGAACCGTGAGAGTGTTGCCCTGCACTTACCGATTTTCAAATATCACGAGCGAACGTCATCGCAGAGCCTTAGAAAGCGTCTTTTAGTATTATTATTATTATCTACTCGAGCACTAACGCATAGCGTCATGCCGGCACCACAGAACAAAAGAAAACGAAGGGGAGAGGTGAGAATAACGCCTGCAAACGGTGTCCCTCCATCGATGTCGTTACCGAAACAAAAAGGTTATAAACAGCTCTTATTATGCTGTTGATATTGTTTTGCATCGGCAGCACATCACCGACACCCCGCACAAACATCGCCACCGCTTCAGCCTCCCTCACCTTTTCCATTGTTATGAGCAACAGTGGAAAATACGAAACAACGAAAAGATGCACGGATGCCCTTCTTCTTCTTTTTCTCTTTACGTGGTCGTTAACGATGGAAAAGCAAGAGGTATGTATATATATATATATATATTTATTTATATATTTATTTATTTATTTATTATTAAGGCTCAGTGACTGTGCAACGTCGATAGAAGAAGACGACACAACTACGCTCCTCGAGGTCGTCGAAGGAGTGCGCCGCTGCTCCACAATCGGTGCGACGAGGTCACTCCTGGACAGCCGCCAAGAGCAGCTTCTTGAATACAGCCGTCACGTACGAGTTCCGTGAGCGTGGCGCCGCGGTGCTCTCCGTCTCCGTGTTCTTACCATCTTCTTCAGCCGCCGGCACAGCCTCCGCGGAATCAGCAAGAGCGTCTGACCTCAGTGGTGGTGGTGGTTGCTGCTGACGTTGTGGTGTAGAATTGCCATCCAGAAGACGCACCTCCACCTCCAACCCCCGCATGACTGTCCTGAAGACGTGGTACAGTCGCGAGTACGTGAAGGTAGAAAGCACCGTGCACGCCCACACCTCCACGGACTCGTCAGCGTCTGTATTTGGATCTCTCTCCTGTTGCGGCGGGTCACTCTTGGCGTCGGGCTCGCCTTTCTGATTGCCCTCCGCATCGTCGGCCGAGTTCGACCTCGAATCCTCGTCCTCGCTCTTCTCCACCGTCGCTTGAGGCGACTTCCCTGCCGCGGAAACACGCTTGCGCCGACGCCGACGCTCAGTGGGTGTCCAACCGCCTCGTCGCCGCTTGCGGGGTGGAGCCGCAGGACGCTGCGAGAAGCTGACGGCTCGTCGCATCTGCTCTGCAATCAACGCCGGGTCCTCGTCTCTCCGCACGAGCGACGTCGTGCGGTCGGCGTGGTTTACGTCGGCCCCCTCGCTGCCGTCGCGCTCCGAGCGTTGCTGCTTGTGATGTCGCCTATCTTTTCCCTGCGTTCTTTCGTGAGTGCTCCTCGCCTCTGCATCGCTGTCGGAGGATGAGGGCTCTTGCAAGTCGCGTGTCTCCTCGCAGAAGCGGATCACCTCGCGGTTCATCTTATACATGTTGAGCAGGCACGTCTCCTTCAGGTCCAGCGCCTTCAGTCGGTACCGCTGATCCTGCGAAGCGCGGGTGCGGAAGAAGGAGCGCACGTTGCGCACGAGCTGATCGACGTCGTCGTGGTACTGCGACAAGCACACGTACTTTTCATCTTCGATGTTTTCCAAGATGTCCTGCAGGCCAACACGGTGCTTTCGGGTGTGCTCCCGCCACGCCTTGCACAGGGGGTCGTCTGGCGCCAAGTCGAGGTCGGCGCTGACGAGCAGGCGGAACTTGCCGGAGTTGACGTACTGCGTGACCCATTTCATTAGGACGTGGCGCAGCTGCAATCGGCGGTACTCCACCTTGCGCCACACATCGCAGCGGCGGGCACGATCAGCACGGCGGCGGGCGCGGAGCTGCGCGTGGGCGAGCGGCGACGGCAGCGGGGCGGGATCCTCGCGAAGCACAGGGACGTCGTGGCGCTCCCCATCCGCACCCCCAGCCGTCGTCGGCGTGCCGTGGTCTTCTTCCTTTTTCTTGCGCCCTTCTCCGCGATGCAGCAGCAGCGTCATGGCGACAATGCGATGCACGTATGTGACGAAGCGGCGTAAATCAGCCGGCAGCGGCGACGTGGCGATGCCGGCGAACACGATGGAGAAGCGCGGGTGCAGCTGCTGATGCTGCGCAGACATTCGTGTGAGGTGCACCGCCGTGGGCGGGTCCACCGTCAGCATCGGGGATGATGGCGAGGGAGACGCGATCGAAAAGAACTCCGATGACGCGACGCTCTGCTCCATTACGGAGGCGGAGTCGGGGAAAGCGTTACCGTGATCCACGCTGTGGTTATGGTGGGAGTGGTCGGGGCTCTGGCCGAGGAGCAGCTCGCACGTCGCGGTGGTCGCACACGGCAGCAGGAAGATGACATCGGTGTCGGCCAGCATGTTCATGTAGTAGCGGAACAGCTGCACGCGTCGTTGCTGCCGCCGTGACACATACGTCGTTGTTTCTGCCGCTGTTGCGGAGCTGCGGCCAACGTTCTTTTCACTCCTCAAACCAAGAGCGTGTTCCTCTTGGCCTTCCTTTTCCGCATTCATTTGCTCGTTGTCATCGTCGTCGTCGTCGTCAAGACCGTGCAGGTCAGACAACCACTCTTCCGCTCCATTGAGGTACACCACACAGGGGCTGCACTGCCGTACCGACTGCACCACTTGGCCCATATGCGTAAACGAGTCCCCGCCGCCTCCACTTGCGTTGCCCAGGAAATCGTCCGAGACCCCGCCGAAGTCCGCATTTGGGTTCGCATGCGTGGAGAGCCCACGCAACGACCAGGCCGACGAAGCAGCGGCGGGTACATCGCTCTCCCACACCAACTCGGGCAGATTCACGGTGATTTGATGAAGTCCCGGCAGTCCTTTCAGAAGACTAATGGAGAGGTGATGGAGCTGCAGCGCACGCCGTTGTTGTTGCTGCTGCTGCTGATGCCGCTGCGGTGGTGGAGAGATCGCCGAGACAGGCGTCAGTGGCTGCGCCTCGTGCAAGACAAGGAGGCAGGGACGAGGCGGCTGTGGGATCGGCACGGCACAAAGCGCCCGCACCGCCGTCGCCATGTCCTGACAATCCCGCGAACCCGCGCGAACGACCTTATCGACGAGCGACCACGACGGCGCCAACGCCGCCAGCGTCGCATCACGCGTGCCACGCACCAACACCTCCACGTACGCGTCGAGAAAGGAGGAGTCGCTGTGCCTCGCCGTGCGACAACGACGCAGCGACGGCTGCATCAGCTGCGCCGCCGCGTAGAAGTCTTCGGTGCGGACGTGCAGCCGCGTCTGCTCTACCTCACGCGGGACGACGAGACGCGCGCTGCTTAGGTACAGCTGCGGGAGCGCCGTGCGGAGACGGTGCAAACTGGCCTCCGTGCACAGCGCCCCCAAATCGGCTCCGGAGTACCCCTCCGTCATCTCGACCAAGTCCCGCAGCAGGGCGGTGCGCTTCTCCGCCGAGTCCGGCATCGCCTTCTTGGCGAGCTGAATCGTCAAGATGTGCCGACGGGCCGCGGCGTCGGGCAGGGGGAAAACGAGCTCGCGGTCGAAGCGGCCCGGGCGGCGCAGCGCAGGATCCAAGGTGTCGGGCCTATTGGTTGCGCCAATCACGACGACCTGCCCACGGTCCTCCAGGCCGTCCAGCAGCGCCAACAGCGTGGAGACGAGGGCGGCCTGCGTCTGCTCCGTCTTGGCGTGCCGCGTCGGGGCTAAGCCGTCCACCTCGTCGAAGAAGATGATGCTCGGCTGCAGCCGCTTCGCCTCCTCGAAGAGCAGCTTCAGCTGCCGCTCGCTCTCGCCGACCCACTTGGACAGCATGTCCGCACCTTTGCGGACAAAGAAAGTAATGCGCTGCGATGATGTACCGCCGCTGCCGCCGCACACAAACTTCGACCCCTCATTCGCCAGCGCACGCGCCATGAGCGTCTTCCCCGTGCCGGGCGGTCCCACAAACAGCACCCCGCGCGGCGCCCTCAGGTCCAGCCGCTCAAACAAGTCCGGATACAGTAATGGCAGCAGCACCATCTCGCGCAGAGTCACAATGTGCTCCGGTAGACCGCCAACGCTGTCGAAGGTGACGTCGTCGTCTACGCGCAGCGGCAGGATGTCGCCCAACGCGCCGTTTGCCGTGGTGACTGCATTGCTGCTGCTGCTTTCAGTGGCCGTGCCGCCGCTGCCGTCCCCGCGCGCACGGGCTTCCTCCTCCTGGTGGACCAGCCAGCGGTACCGACGGTCCAGCTGACGACGTCGTATCTTCCTCGCTCCCTCGACCCCCACCGCGTCGGCCATGTAGTAGTTAACGTTCAGGTTCTGCCGGACGCTCTCACGGGCGTTGCGCACGGCGCGGCGACGCTCCGCCTCATTGGCGAAGTCGCGCGTGCCGTCGCCATTGTCGCTCGAGGCGGCGGACGACGACGGCGACAGACGGGCGTGACGGTCGTGCATCTCTGCCCGCTCCACGCTCTCCTCCCGCATGGAGGCCTCCGTGATGGAGGAGTCGAGTGAAATGGCATCGTCGTTGTTGTGGCTGCTTGGTCGAGCGGAGGTCGTCGTGCGACGCGTTGCCGGAGTGGCGGCCGTTGTGGTGGTCGGTCGTGTGGAGTCCCCGGTGCCACCGCTCTCCCGTGGGGAGGATGCGGCGGAAGCGTTGCCACCTCGACAGGGCATTGCTTGCGTTGACGCTGCGGTCGCCATCCGTGGCGGATGCCCCGGCGGCGATTGGTCGGCTTTTCCGCGCACGTTGTTCGGGCTGGTTGAAGAAGAATCGCTCTCTTCACCCGTGTCAGTGCCGCTGCTGCTGCCGTCGCTCTCCGACGTGTCTTCATCTGAGCTGCTGGCGTCGCTGCTGCCGTGTTGGCGTCGTCGCCTGGGATAACGGTGTTGGAGGCGCTGCCGCTGTTTCTCGCGCTTTCTGGATATCTCCTCCACCATCTCCGGGTGATGACGAAAGTGGAAGACCCCCACGCTGTTGCTCGTCTCGTCGTCATCGTCGTCGTCGTCGTCGAGCGCTGCGGCACCGTTGGCGCTCGTCAGCGTCACGTGAAGATTCTCCATGGCCCGCTTGGCGGCCTCGCGTATGGGGTAGCGGCGAGAAACCACAAACGCCTCCTCGTGCGTGCGAGGGCTGCTGTGACTGCGACGACCCGCCCCGGCGTAACCGCGCTGCTGGATGCTTGAGCGGTACAAGGACGCGGCAAGGTACTGCTCGTCGAGGGAGACTGAAGAGCGCGACACCCGGCAGCCACGGCCAAGCTGCTCACCTTGTGTCTGTGAAGGGGACGTGTCCACCACAGCTGCGGCTGCCGTTTCTGCTGCTGCTGCTGCAGTGGCGGTTTTATTTGCCGTTGGTCTACCCGACCTGCGCCTCGGCGTGGGCTCGTCCTCGCCGCTGGAGATCGCGTGTGCGTCGCCTTCGCTGTCGGAGCTGTGTGTGTCGCTGCCACGCACACTCCGCGCTCGAGCACGAGTGGAGACCATTGCTTCGGTCACCCAAGAGAGTGAATTATTGTCTCACAGATTACCAGTTAGTATTGCGCCTGGACTCCTTACGCTTTGCGTGTTACGCTGCTACTGCACTCGCCTACTCGCCACAGCTGCGCTTCCACCGCGGTGCCTAAAAAGCTGTGGTGTCGGGTTGAAGTGCTTCACTAGTTGTGCCCATATAGGTGCGCCTCACTACGCCGGTGACGCCGCGCTCTATGCCTTGTATTATTTCTTTTTCTTTTTAAGCAGCGCTAACGTTTATATATATATATATATATATTCCTACCCGTGGGAGTCAGTAGGTAAAATCTTCGGCCGCTTCGTATTTTAATTCGCTGCGCATGCTAAATAGTAACAAGAAAAAAATAAGAAGGGTGAGAAGAATGAGAAGAAACTGATGGTACGTCAAAGTGCTGCTCCTTGCAAGGTGCGGGGCGGCAAGAAAAGAAGAGAAGGCGAAATACACCGCGGAAGAGTGCGCTGCATTACGATAAATGTCTACTCCATCAACGCGGCTTCTCCTTGCTGTTGATTACATCCAGAAACCCCCCAGGCGGGTGTGTCATGGCCCAACTACTTCGCAATAATCATGCGGAGATTTAAAAAAAAAAGACAAAGGTGTGCCTTTCATCACCATTACGGAGGGCCTTAACAGGAAAAACCGCCAACTTGCTGGCGTAGGAGACGAATACGTACCCCGCGCGCGGACTCCACCCTGCGCCTCGTCTTTCCTCTACTCCTTTAACAGGAAATTGGTTGTTGTGGATGTTGTTTTTAATTGTTACTGAACGAGAGAGAGAGAGAGCACTCCTTTGGCTCGTTGGTCTTCTGCCTGTTTTGCAGTTGAAATCGTGCACCGTTACAACCAAAAGAAAAAAGGAAACGGAAAAAAAGAGATGGTTGACTCGGCGCTGTCTCCCTCCATCGGTGGGGTGGCAACCAAACCTGGCAGCCTTTCTTCTTTCTAACGGACGGCGGTGGTGCCACCTCTGATACAACACGCGCACAATGAAAACAGTGCAAAGACAGAAGAGGCCGCTGCCTCTCCACGCTATCTCTTCACGCCTGAGTGACGAGACAGTAATGCAGAGCACACCCACACTCCACGGGAAAAAGAGAAGGGTGTCGGAGAAGAAAAGAAACAACTCCCCACCCACCCACCCACCCCCTTCGACACTTTCAGATCACACCGCACCGCACCGCACCATTCATCCGTGAATCTCAAGAAAAAAAAACACGGCAAGTCCACTCACGTCAAAAGAAAAACTTATATTTTAGTCAAAGCATCAAGCAGTGACCTTTTCTGTTTTTCATCTGCTATAGGCCCCCTCTTCGCGTGTTAACAAAAAAAATTATCACGCCATTAGCGGTACGACAAGAGCAAGAAGCCTATATACTTAATTTAAAGAATTCAAAACGCACTCATCGCGCTGCATCGGCGGCTCAACGATCCCACGTGCGTGGACTGCGATTTCACAGCAGCCTTAATCCGGGTATTAAAAAGAGAAATGTTAGGCGAGAACAAAGAGAAATCTTCTGTTAAGACAGCAGCACAGCAACAACAGACAAACAAGACAAAAAAAAGCCGCACTGGAGAGCGTCAAATCAAGAAAGGTTCAGGAAGCACCGATGCGTCTCCCACGGGCACTGACGCCCTTACAGACACATCCACATACAACATACACAAGAGCTACAAGAGAACCAAATAAGCGTTCCCTCAGCATACAAACCATCTCGTGACCATCGCTGAAAGAAACGGCGTCGCATGTGATCATCAAAGAGAATTTTTCGTCTTATTTCGAGTGGATACGTGCTCGGATTACACTCCAGCTTTCTGCTGCAAACGGAAGCAACAGAAGAGGTACGACGACACGATCACGTCCAGCCCGCATGTTTTAAATGTATATGGGAGTGCATGAACGTCTGTATGCTTGTGTATGTGAATATGAATGCCTGCTGCACACCCCTCTACTTCTTCTTGGCGGAGCGGAAGGCTGAGGTGCCCGTGGCTTTTTCGGCTTGGCGCTGCTTCTGCGCGCGCTTCTTGTTAGCCTCGCGGCGCTGTGCCTTCTTTGCTTCGCGTTCCTGCTGGATGGCCACGAGGTCGTCGCGCGCCTTGTGCTTCACCTCGACGTCCTCGACCCAGTCGATGTTGTGCCGCAGCGCCGTGGCGGCCTCCTGCTTCTCGTGCAGACGCGCCTTCTCCATACGCTTCGCCCACAGATCCGCCTGGCGGCGCTGCTGGATCTTCTCGACCCGCTTCATCACCTTCAAGGTGTCACCCAATAGCTCACGATTGTACTTCACTGGGAGGTTGCGACGCTGCTCGAAGTTCATCGTGCTATCCACTGCCAGCTCCTTGCCGTTCGCCTTGCGGAACGTCTTGGTCCACTTCAGCTTCATCGGGTTGCGCTTCATGCCGAAGTTCTTGCGACACTTGCTAGAGCAGAAGCGGAAGATCTTGCAGTCGTTGCGCACGAACATCTGCCCGTGACCTGGGTAGACCGGCGCACTGCAGAAGGAGCACTGCTCAATTCGCATGGTGAACTAATAATAATAATAAAGGAAGGAAAGAGGAAGCCTGTGCAGGTGCGTACAAGTGCCAGTTGGTGTGGCTCGTCGTTTGTTTCCCTTTCTGTTTGTTTTCTCCTTCGCGGACGGTGCGAATAGACGGTGAAAAGTTTGAAAAATCGAGATGATGATCGAAGAAGACGACACAGAAAAGCGAGGCAGTTTTTTTCTTTTTGAGAAAGCTGCCCTCCACGTTCTGAAATAAAAGAACGCCGTGACGGAGTACTTTCGAGCGGTCACGCACGACGGAGAGGAGGAGGGGGGGGAGGAGAGAGAGAGAAGAAGTGGTAGAAGTCGGTGACACGAAGAGAGCCGAAGCGCAGAGCACAAGAACGCAGCGAGGTTGAAGATACGGCAGGAAACAATGCATTATGACTTCTTCTGTGTGTGTGTGTGTGTTTATTCGAGGGCCTCGAAACGCAGGTTCCTGTCGCTGCTAGAACAAGATGCAAGCGCCACCTGCACACGTCGCGGAGAGCATTTCCACTGAGCTGGGGACACAGGCAAGCAGGCGATTGAATGCGCTACGACTTTGTCGAAAGCACCACTCTGTTTATTCTCTCTTTCTTTCAGTGTTTTTTTAAATGAGCACGTACGATACATCCATGCATGAAGTTGCGTGTCACGCAGACAAGCAATAGAAAGAGAGAAAAAGAAACGAAGGCAACCGGACACGACGATAAATCGGTCGACCGGCCCGCCTGCTGATGTTTGTCGCTCGCTGCGGCAGAAAACAAATAATAATAATAACAATAGGCCTGGGAACATCGCTTGTTGTCAATTTCGTGCTGCCTTTCTCTTTTTCTCTCTTCTCTCTTCCTTCTCTTCTTCGCTTATACTGTAAGGTGTGTTTCGGTGTTGTACATCAAAGGAAAAAAAACCGATCTTACGACTCCCATACGCATTTTGTTGTTGTCGCTGACACGTCCCGCGCAACCTCCATTCTACTTCAACACGTTAGTAATACATCCTATAAAACAAAGATGTCAAAAAAAAAAACTAGAAAGAAGAAGCGCACGTCATGCCCGCCACGCGCACACACGCTCGTCTTTCACCCGGAAGAGAAGACACCAATTGAGGAAGGTCAGCCTCTCCTTTTTCTTCCCAGCTGCGCTCCTCTGGTTCACTGCAGGGTCGGAGTCGAGGCGGCCATCAACGCATTCAGCAGTAAACGTTCGCGTATCTGCGCAATGAGCTCCTCCGTTGCCTGCGCTGCCTCAGTGTCACGTCCCTCCGCATCGCCGGGCCGCAGCCCGCAGTCCACATCCACGAGGGTCGCACTCCCCCACACCACCGCGTGGATTGCCTCGACAACGGCGTCGTACGTCCATTCACCCTCTTCCGCCTTCGCGGACTCATCATCCGTTGCGGCGGCGGCGGCGGTCTCCCCCGATTTAACCGGCACCGACGCGAGGAAGACCTCCACGGTGGGCCGCGTCGCCACCGACCGCAGCAGCGACATCAGCGGCGCGGCGGACGCACGCGGGGTGTGGCGTACATCCAACTTACGTAGGTTCGTCGCCAAGTTCGGATCGGCAAAGATCGCCCCCAGCTGCTCGATGTGCATGCACCGCCAGTCGTTGTAACTGATGTCTAAAACCGACAAGTGGGGCATCTGCGCGAGGCAGCGGAAAAGTTGGCTCACCTCCGCCTCCTGCCGCGCCGCAGGAAGGTCACGCAGGAGGCCCTCCTGCACCCCCAGCTTATTGTGGCTGAGGTTTAAGTCCTCCAGCGCAGTGCCGAACGGGAAGTCACTGACGAGGGCCACCATCGTGCTGATCGCGTTGTACGACAGATCTAATCGGGTCAGGCGCGACGCCAGCAGCGTCGCCAGCGGCTCCAGAGCGTCGCCGAGGTTGTTGCGGCTGAGCGTTAGCTCGCGCAGGGCATGGCAGACGGGGGTGTCCACCTCTACTGGCAGCAGACCCGCCAAACCGGCCGAGGTGAGGTTGTTCCCGTCCAGGCACAGCCGCTGCAGGGCAGCAGGGTGCGAAGGAGACCTCGCTGACGAGGGATACAGCAGCGCCGCGATGTGCGGAACCGCGACGGGGTCGAAGGTAGCGGTGTTCGCCCCGCAGGCGCCGTTGAAGCTGAAGTCGAGCTCCTCCAGCGTCGGCACGTGGGCCAGCGCGCGCAGCACCGCCGCGCTGGCCGCTGGGCCGAGGTAGGTGTGCGCTAAGATGAGTCGACGCAGCCGGCCGTGACGCTGCAGGCCAGCCGCGAAGTTCGCCACGGCTGCCGCTGCCTGCCGCTGCTGCTTCTTACTCATCCGCCGCTGCAGTGCGTCAACCCCCGTTGCGGCGTCGGAGGCGCCGCCGACGCACGCGAGCGGGTTCTGTCGGAGAATCAGTGTGTGAAGGGCGCACCCGTGCTGCGGCCTCTGCTGCTGTGCGGCGTAGGACGACGACGGCGGTAACGGCGACCCCGCAAGAAGGTAGCGGGCGAGGTGATTCAGTCCGCTGTAGCCGATCGCGTTGTCGGTGAGGTCGAGCACTTCAATGGAGTGGTTGTGGGCGACGGCCACGGCGACCATGTGGGCGCCGGTGTTGCCGAGCAGGTTCTTGGAGAGGTCCAGCACACGGAGGCGGTGGTAGCGATGGAGCGGCGTCAGCAGGTTCCACAGCGGCGCCCCCTGCCATCGCTCCTGCGCCTCGGCCATCGACAACAACCGCCGCGCACTGCCGGCAGCACCGCCGCCCTCGTCTTCGTCTTCGACCACCACCTCCTCTTCGTCCTCCTCCTCCGGCGGGGGAGGACCGGTTAAGTCCTCCCCGGTGTGCAGCCCGTTCTCGGCCAGTCGCAGCACCCGCATAAACTTGTTCTTCTTCAGCACCTCCGCCAGCGCCTCCAGGCCCTCCAGCGTCTCGCCAAACACCGGGTCCTCCTCTTCGTATAGCGGGTCCTCGACTTCCTCGACGTCAGCGGCGCCGTCACCGTTCAAGGCGTTGGCGGACAGGTCAATCCCGGTCAGGGCGATATTTTTAGTGAGCGCCTTCGCAACGATGCCCACCCCACGCGGACCCAGCGCGTTGTCGCGCAGATTGAGGTAGCGAAGCGTCTCGTTGGCGTCGATCATGGCGGCCAGCGCGCGCAGCGGGGCGAGGGGGCGAACCGGCGTGCCGTCCTCCTGCCCAGCCGGGACTGCCGGTGCGGCGAGGTTGTTGCTCGCCAAGTTTAGCACCTTCACGTTAGCGCAGGCGCGATGGCGAGTCGCGGCGTGCGCCGCAGCAGCCGCGTCACCGTCCACGCCCCCTGCCGCAGCTACTACGGCGGGAACACGGCACGCGTCGTTGTGGCTGAGGTATTCGCAGAGCAGCGGGAATACGCGCATCTCGTACGATGCGACGTCGCGAAGGGCCTGCGTGTACGTCGTGTACGGCAGGTGCAGGGTGGCGCAGCGCTCCTGCAATGCCGCGTTGTGCTGCCGGTCCGCCTCCGACTCCTCGTCCTCATCCTCGTCCTCCTCGCCCGCACCCAGGTTGCCATCTTCATCCTTCGTGGACGGAGGGGTGGGAAGAGGATAGCGGACCTGCAGCTCGTTGTACTTCGCCTCCCACGCCGCGGTGGATGGCGGTGGCTGCTTCGCCGGGTCAACGATGCCTTTGGAGAGCAGCAACGCGCAGACACCAGCGCTGTCAGTTCCTGCACCAGTACCAGAATCAGCGGCGGCAGCGGCGGCTTCCATGACAGCGAAAAGGCGCTGCAGGGCATCGAAGTTCACTGGATCCCGTGGCTTCATCTCACGGACCAGCGGCAGCACCTGCGTGAAGGCGTCTACCTCCTCCGGCAGCCCGACCGCCGTCGAGGAGGTGCCGCAGAGGCCGCCCTCCATCCCGCACTGCACGGCCGCGCGTGCGTCGTCTGCAGACACGTCTGCGTCCCCTGCGGCGGACTGGACCGCCTCCACCACCGCGGCGGACAAGATGGACTGCACCGCCGCCCCGACCCCGTGGCGGAAGGCCTCCGGTTCCACCCCGAGCTGCACGGTCTTGCAGTTGCTGTTGCTGCCCGCGGCACCGTTCGCGCGAGCACCGGCCACCCCGCCGCCGGCAGCCGTAACGCCGGCGGTGCGGAGCTGCGAGGGGTCAAGGCGGCTATCGGTAGCGCCGCGGAGCGCACGGGAGAGCATCATCGCGTTCATCGCCGCGTAGATGCCGGCGTCACCTTTTTCCTTCGACTCAGGCGTGAGACATCCCGCGTACGCTGAGATGGGCTGCAGCGGCTGCTGCTCCGGTTGCCGCTCCTCGACATCTACCGCAGACATCTTCGTATAATGCTGTCTGTTTGTTTGGTTTGCTTTACCTTTTCTTTCCTTCTTACTGTGCTTGGTAAATAGAGAGGAGTTTGGGAAAGGGAAAGGCGAAAGTTCAAATACATACCTCAGAGGCTGCTGTGTGTCTTGCGTAGGTGACAGTTGATGTGGTCATAACTATGTGTTATTATTGTTAGTATTATTCTATCGATGGAAAGCACGGCAGTAGTACCACCTAATCGCACGCTGACGCCGTACTGGACGTGGCGGATGCCGTGCGTCCTTGCGCCTCGCTCGTCCAACAAAAGCACCCAGAGGAAGAAGCGCCACGCCATCAACGCTACAACGTGCACCGTTACCTTTTCGCTGTTGCCGCCGCTGCGGACTGTGTTCATACAAACGAAACAACATAAAAGAAAGCGAAGAAAGCAAGTAAAGTGTACAAGGGTGAAGATGCAGCGCACAACGACAGAGAAAAAAGACGGGGAAGTACAAAAGAGACGAGGAATTAAAAATCATGAAAAGAACAGAAAAAAATATCTTCCGTGCGTGCGTGTGCGTGTGTCAGCAGTAAGTGTCCGAGATTCACACAGGTCAACGAGACGGTGCTTGTGAGGTCTGGGTCGGCCAGACTTCCCGACGCCCTACACGTACACCACGCCGCTGTCATGCTGAAAGTGACGCACCGCCGAAGCGTAACGGGGCAGACCGCCGTCCATCACCTGCGGCGTGCAGTCCAGCGCAGCGTACAGCGGCAGCGCGCGGCCCCACATGTCTGGCGCGACTTGATGCAGCACCGCCGCCTGTCGGTTGAGCCACTGCGCGTATCGCGCCGCCTGCTCTCGCAGGAATGTGTGACGCTCGTCTGCCTCCTCGCCCTTGTCGTGTCTCACGGAGCGCGACGTCGCGGCATTGTAGCGCATGCGCAGCGGCAACTGATAAGGATCCAAAGGAGCACCCTGCGCGACGCTGCGGGCCTCTGCTTTGTTGTGTAGCTCCTGCGGCGTGTCGGACGCGGATGCTTGGAGAGCAGCGTCACCGCCTGCCTCGAAGGACGTTTCATGAGATGCAACGCACCGTGCATTTTCGGTTGTGTGCTCCGCCGCGACCACCTCGGCGCTCTTCTCCCCAATGCCTGTATCTGCCATTCCTTGAGAAACACCCCCTTGTACTTCCGGATGTGAGGGCTGCGTAGCGGCGGTAGTCTTTGCTCCTGTCGCTGCCGTGTTTTGCTCTGCACGATGCCGCGGCAGTCCGATGCCTGCGATGGAATCCTTCGCCAACACGCGGCAGTACGGCTGCACAACGGACAGCGTTACGCGGCTGAGCGACGCTGCTGCAGCGGGTGTTCCACCCGTGTCAATTGTCACAGCAGCAGCAACAGCAGCGTGTGCAGAGGCATTCGGTGACTTGCGAATGTTAGGCGCATTTTGTGTCTTTGAAAAGCACGAGGCTGCGGCGTTCGTTGCCGACCGAGAAGACGGTCGCGGGAAGGGCAAGGGCTGCGGACCGACAGTTTGCTGCAACGGCTCATCCGCCCAGGCTCGCAACGCAGCTTCGTGTCGCTGAAGGGCATCGCGCAAAGCAGAACGAGCCGCGCGATGAGCATTCCGTGCCGTCTTCCCTGCAACTCCGCTGCTTACATTCGCTGCCGCGTAAGAGGAGAAGTTCTCCATAGTTACCCCACGTGACGGAGCATGAAAGGTGAAGGACGGTGTGGTGTGGAGCAGCGCGCTCGAGCGGCCATTAGGAGTTTGGGCCGCTTCCGCAGAAGACCAAGTCGCAGACTTGTTAGCGTGCGGCTTCGTAATTTGACGCAGGCACGCGCGCGCGTCATCGAATCCAGCTGCGTGCCGGAACGCGACTGTCTTCAGCACCACCTCGTTCACGGTGTTCTCCGTGGTAAACATCTGAGGGGTGGCCTGAGCTAGAGAAAGAGAAGGAGAAAGAGAAAGAAGAAAAACGTTTGTGGTGTTGATATGGTGTTGCTTCCCGCCTATGCACAGGCACGAAAGGCTCCTCGGGGTACCTCACCGCAGTTGGGTCGTTTTGGATTGAGGAAATCCATAAAGGGAGGCAGAGCAGAGAGCACAGATAGGGAAGCGTGTGCTGCAACACTGACGCCTCGTCTCTTTTTGGATGCGTGGATGTGGCAAGATCCGTTCCAGCATGTGTGGGTGCGGGCGTGTGTGTGGACAGAGAGAGAGCACCGAGAGACAGTACAGAAGAAAGGAAGAACAAACAAAAGGGCAGAGGTGACATGAAAGGAGTAGACAGGTAAAAGGGAAAACAAAAAAATGCAGCGCACATGCAACGGACAGTACAACATCGGGAAGAGGAGCATATGCATGCATGCATACATATATATTTAATACACTGGACAGAGATACGGTGCCGTGCTTTGTTGCTGCGGTCGGTCATTCGCTGTCGGTGCTACCCAGAGAGGCCCACCTTGCGAACCGCAAAGTTTCGCTTGGAACACAGTGCTCTCCCATACCAGCTACAGTAATGAAAAACAGAAAGGAAAAAAAAGGAAACTGCACGTCTACCGTGTATTTTGTCTTCGGTTCCGAATATTTGGAAAATATATAACAGACTAAGGGGAATATGAAGGGAATCAACAGCGAGCAACGAAAGCAACCGAGGAAGCGGCAACGCTAGCACAAACGAGGAGGGTGTATACCACAAGTCCTTGTACGTAGCGCGCAAAAGAACAAACGGCCGACGACATCTTTAATCGCCATCTTCTTCTCTTTCCTTCTTGAGAAAGGCAACCGCGAAGCAGGGACGACCGCCAGCAGAAAACAACGTCATTATGAAGTCGCAAAGATAAAGGAAAAGAGGAGAGAAGATGGGTTACTCTTTGTATTTCCAACGGTCCTAATACGAACAACAGTACGCAATCCTTGCGGTATCGCCGGCGCACACCGTGTGCTGGTTTACGGGAAGGAGTAATGGAGGCGGAAGAGCAAAGAGGAAAAAGAAAGGCTCTAGTGCTTGACACCGTTTTGGGGGGGGGGAGGGGGAAGGAGAGAGGAGGGGGGTTTGTTGCTGTATACCAACCTCCCTGTTTTTTTTTCTCTTCTCACAGCAGAAACAAAAAAAAAAAGGTGAAGAGACGTCAGACCGCAGGAGACCAAGGAAAACGCAAGCGCCCATACGCAGGAGATATACACAAGGCGGACAGCGTTCAGAGGCGACTATCCCTGTCCTTTCTTATTTTGGTGCTGTTGTTGTTGTGGAGGGAGAGAGGAAGGGGAGATCACAACGAGCACAAAAATGTTGCTCCCCCGCACTCATGCAGATACTTGAGTTTGTTTTTCGTCCTTTTTCGCTGCCTTCAGTGTCGTTTTACTTCTTCGACTTCTTATCCGCCTCCTCCTTCCATTTCGCTACCGCGAAGTCGGTTGTCTCGTTCTTCACCTCTGCGCCGGCGCCCTCGCCCTCTCCCACCCACCACTCTGGCGTCTGATCCCAATCTTTGTTATACGTCCCCGCCTCGAGCTGCTTCTTAAACCACGTCCGAAACAGTGGAATGGCCTTGTCGACGTTGCGAATTGTGTTCGGCGCAAACTTCGTCGCGATGAAGTTCGTGATCGTCGTGGGAATCCGCCCGCACGGGTCCGTCTGAGTAATGTAGGTCAGCGACGTCCCCTCCACCTCCCCCGTCGTCGGGCTGCGCCACGGGCGGATCAAGTACCCCGTCAGCTTCGACATCGCCCGCACGAACTCGCCGTGCTTGTTCTTATGCGTGTCTTTCTGGTACGACGGCGGCACCGCGGTGTGCGGCACGGAAGTGTTGAAGATGACGAACTCGTCCTGTCCGGCGTCGTGCCACATGCGCTGGTTAACGAAGTCGCGGTTCGCGACGAGCGGCACAGGACTCTTCGCCGCGTAGTAGCCGATGTCAGTGTTGGCGCTGAGGCTCACCACTCGAAACGCCTCCAGCCGGTAGTCGTCCCAGTCCTCTCGAAAAATGGGGTCCTGCAGCATGTCGTAGAGCTCTCGTGGTGCGCACCCGCCCTGCGGATTTTCTTTCGTTTTGCGAAAGACGCCGAAGACCTTAATGACGTGCATCGGCTCATTCGGAAGCTTGCGGTCCCATACCATTACCTCGTGCGGGCGGCTGTAGCGCAGCGTGAAGCCGTCGAGGGAGTCCGCAAAGGTGCGGAAGGCGTAGCAGTCGGCTTTGTTCGGTAGGCGATAGACGCGGCCGGCCTCCTCGTGCGTCGGGCCAGAGAAGGCGAAGGGGGTCTTGTACTCTACCACCGCCGGTGCGTTGGAGGTTTTGCTGTCCTTCCTCGCGCTTTCCTCCGCAGCGGACTGCGTGACCTCGTCGACGTGGCCCTTCTTTGCTTCCGACATGTTTTCTTCTGTTTCTTTCCTAGCGCAGGAATATTCAGCAACCACTAGCAAGACAACAAGAGAGAAGGAGGAAAGGAAGGAGGGAATTATAAATATCGAAGAAAGGAATAGAAACAAACAAACAAAGGAAAGAGAGGTGATGATGTTGATGCTGATGATGATGCTGACGATGATGATAGAGCGGTAAGAATGCAATAGAAACAAAACGGTGCAACGTTGTTGTGGGAAAGAAAGGGAGGAAAAAACCGGCACGATCAAGGGCAAATATGTTTCTCTTTCACACAGGTTCAATGGGCGAACCGGAGCGTAGAGTCCCCTGGATATTTATATACTAATATATATTTATATGTATATACGAACGGTGATGAGCTGCCAAGTCGCATGAAGATGGTAACGAGAGGAAAGAAGAAAAACCGAATGTCAGGAACAGTTATCGACACGGAGCCGCATGCAACAGCGAAGTTCGGCAGAAATCAAAAGGAGCAGGAGTTGGCGCCAGCTTTCAGCGCGCGCGCACACACACACACGCAAAAGAAAAGGCGAGACACGTGAAAGATGAAGTGGGTGAGGTAATACATCAGGAGGAGGACGTCAACATGAAATGAATGACGCGGCCACAAACCGGGGTTACCCCACACGCGAGACCGATGACGAAAAAGGTGATTCTGCGGCTGGTAAAAAAAAAAACGCCCTCACCAAATAAAAACTCTGTAATTTATCAAACACAGAGTCTGCGCACGCCATCACTCTGCGACCCAATTCGCGCCGATGTATGTCTGCGCTTCGGCGAAGAAAAGAAAGAAAAAAGGAGAGGCATACAGGTCGTCAAATGCTCCCCTCTGGTGTTCGCAGAGATCAAAAGGTCCCTTTATTGGATTATACCTTCTATTTCTCTCTTCTTCTTTGGTTTGTTGATGTCGTTGCGCACCTCACGCTGCTTCGCTGAAATAAATAGGAAAGAAGGACGTGGAAGACAGTTACTACACGAAGAACAAGGAAAAAATGAAGTGAAACGATTCGAGGAAACAGTTTTTGTTATCGATATATATATACTTGTGAGATCAGCAAAGGAACGCCAGTTTGAGAAAGCAGCTAACAATACGAAAGGATTGGGAGTGAGTTGGAACGTCTAAGATGTTTCTAGTGGAGGAAAACACAGAACAATAAAAAACAGTCGTTGTGTTTTCGTATAGGGGGGAGGAGGAAGAGGAGGACAACAGCAAAGTGCGCGCACCAACCAGCGTGCCTTCCACACCGCAAGAACAAACAACAAAAACAAAGGCGACGTGGAGACGCTACAAGAACCCCTCAGAAACAACAGATATAAAGGAGGAGGAGGGGGCGGAACGTTGGCTAAGAATACATGAGGAAACAAACAACAAAAACAGCAAAAAAAAAAAAGAAAACACACTCAGAACTGGCATTCTGAAACGGGCACACACGACGCAACAGCATTAATCAAACCGTGGCGCGCAAAAAGCAAACAGGAAGATAAACAGGTTTTTCTTAACAGTTTATCATCAGCGTTACGCTCGTTTTTGCGCTCACGGCTGCGAACAAAACGAATAGGCGAAGCACAGAACGAAAAGCAAGAAAGAAAAAAAGGGCTTTGGAAGCGGCCATAAACATTTGAACAGCAAGGCACATCCACAGCGCGTTGTTCTTGATGTCTTTACCCTTTTCGAGCTTTGTCAAGGGGGAAAAAACGAAAATAGCATTCGTACCCACGCACATCTGTGAGCGTGGCTGCGTACTGCGCGGCCTTTTCGTTGTCATCCGCATCACCTTTCTTTTTTGAGAGGGTGGTGGTGGTAGTTGCCTTGTCTCGGTGGAGTCTCTTTAGCGGCGGCTCCCTGAAGCGGCCACATCGCGGTTGTGTGGAGGAGAATCCGAGAAAAGCGTGCTGCGACTCACTGTCAGGTCATCCGGCAGCGAGGTACGCGTCCGCGATTGCACGGCGAAGTACTGCCGGTTCTCCTTGTTCAGGTTCACACCGCCGTCTTGCGGATAAAGCGGGGAGCGAGTGCTGTAGTACGGCATAGCAGGCGCCGTGGACGCACGCTCCAGCAGACTTGCCACCGTCAGCCGCACGTGTCCGTCACGCAACGGTCTCTGGGTGTTGTCGAGCGACGTGACCATGCTGTTGGCGGCCGCTCGCTGCTTCTCCTTCGCCATCGGCGAGCGGGCATCGCTGCCGACGCTGACATCGCTGCCGTTTTCGCGCTCGCGCAGCCCACAAAGGCGGTCAGCGCCGTCGAGGTCAGCGGCCAGACTGCTGCACGACGACAGAAGCGGGGATAGGGTGGTGCCGGTGTTGTTTCGCGGACGGCTGCATCGCGAGTCGAAGTTGGTCATTGCGTGTGGGTCAACGGATGGCTTCGTCGCGTCTCCGGTCGACGGCTTCGGCCGCGACATCTTGTGTGCCGCACCGCGTCTCCGCTTCGTGTCCGCGGCCGGTTCTCGCCGCTCTTTTCTACGCTGAGACAGTTGCGCTGCGAGGTCGCCGCTGCGACGCCTGGCAGGGCCTGCGACGTCCGCGCGCTTCCCTGCAGCAGGCCAGTGTGCTTTGCCTTTTGATCGATGGCTGCTGCTCGGTGCGCTGCCGCTACCGGCGCTGTGGGGCGCCTCTTCTGCTGTCGAAGCGCGCGGCGCTGCCTCGGCAGCAAGAGGAGAAAGCCGGTCAGCATCGTCACCGTTTTGATGTTTGCTTGACGTACGAAACACCTTGGTGGTGTTGTAGCGTGCAAAGGCGGCTGCGCCGCCGTTGTTGTTGATGTTGCTGCTACCTCCTCCTTTGTTGCTCTGGCTGTTTGTGGAGGGGTTGGTGCCCGCTACTGACCACATCGCCTTCGGGGAAAGGCGATGACCCGGAGAGGCACCGACAGTCTTGGTGGCCTTCTCCGGCGTCTTCTCCAGCGAAGCCGCGTTGTTCGCCCGCGTGGCGCGGCTGGGACTATTGTGTGGTGCGCCGCTGAAGGGGATCGCAGTCGCGGGCTTTTGTGTCATTGTCTTTCCTCGCTTTCCGAGCGGTCCTGACACGGTGCCCCCGCTACCGCCGCGCACCGGCGTGACACGCGCAGATGCGCTACGACTGAGCGGGACCGGGGCAGACAAGGAACGCTGCAACGGTCGCGGAGCCGCTACGCCTGATGACGCTGCGGTGCGCATCGCTGTTGCTCCCGCAGCAGCAGCAGCAGCAGTTGAATTACCGTTGGCGTCGTTGCGCTCACAAGATGACACGTCGGCTGCCGAGCGCGGTTTCCCTCGGCCGCCGCCGCCGCCATCTCCTCGTGAAGCCCCAGTGGAACGCCCGGCAGTTTTCCTTTTTTTGCCGCTGTTCGCGGCTGCTGTTGATATCTTCGTTGCCGCTGCTCCCGCTCTCGTTGCTGCGGCGGTGGGTTTTGTGGCGGTCAAACCGGTAAGACTGACCGTCCGCCCAAACGCACGAGCACGGGCCGGCGCGGCGGCATCACGACCGTGCCGCGTCCGCGCACCACCGCCGCCGCCCTTCGCACTACTACTACTAGTATTAGTGTTGCCTCCGTCGCCGCCACCGGTCAGGTGCAGCGACTCCGCCGTCGCGACGAGGTCGCGGAACTGCTCCGCGAGTTGATTGGACTGCGGTGTGATTCTGGAGCGGACACCGCGGATGGGGCTGCCGCTGCCCGATCGATTCGACGGGCTCGGTGCCAACGGCGGATGCACAAAGGGGGCGGGCGAGACCGGACCCTCCGGCTCGTTTCGCAGCTGCTCAGCGCCGTGTGGCAGCCGCACGACGGTCGTCGAGCGCAGCGCGGACTCGAAGGTCTGCATGCGCTGCCCCGTCGACGCGGTCGGCAGCAGGGCGAAGAGCAGCGCCACATCCGTCACCTCCATCGCTGTCGCAACGCTGCCGGCGTCGACGCTGCCGGGCCGGCTGCGGGGGAGGAGTTGGGACAGAATCGGACGGACCCGCTGCAGGGCACCCACGCATTTACTCAGCGCCTCCGCGTACTCTGCCTCACCGTTCAGCAGGGAGCGACACTCCTGGTGGTAGTGCGCGGCGAGACACTCCGCCTCGGTGCAGCTCTGCCGCAGGCGCGCGTTGTCGAGCAGCAGCTCCAGCGCGGTACCCTGCCGCTCCCGCAGCAGCGACTTGCGTGTCGCCGCGAACTGCCGATCTGCCTCCTCGAGTCGATCCGTCAGCTCCGTTAGCTGCGACGCCTGCCGCGCCCGGGCCTCTTCCATGCTCGCAATCGTCTTGCGCAGGCCGGCGACGCCCACGGTAGAGCTGATGCTGCTCAGATCCGTCTCTCCGCGCGCGCGGCTGCCGTAAGCGTCACTGACGAGGAAAGTGGCGAGGCGCCACTGCAAATCACGCAGCTCAGCGTCTCCGTCCCGCTCGCGCTCTTCTGCCTCGCGGACCTCGTGGTAGAGCGCCTCCTTCTGCGCCGAGAAGTCTTTCAGCTTCGCCTCGAGATCCGAGAAGAGACGCGTGTTTTCGGCAAAGACGGAGGGACGTGCGGTGCGGAGACTGAGGGAGGGCCGCGGCGTGCCGCTGCTGCCAAACGACATCTCTACGGCGCTGGCAGAGAAGGGAGAGGCGGTTAAGGTGCCGGGGTGTCCACCACCGCTCATGCTGGCCGACGGAGTCACCGTTCCGCGGGGAGGAGCCGCGGGAGGAGTGTTTGGCCGCGGTGGTGCCGTCGTCGCCGTCGTCGCTAGACCGAGACGAGCTGGGCCGTCTTCACTACCGCTGCTATTATTATTGTGGTTCGTGTTCCCCACAGTGGGGCTCTCGATCGAAACGGTCGATGGCTGTCGACCGAACGCGGAGGGGCTCTCCAACTTGGTCGACGTCACGGGTGTGCTGCTGCTGTTCGCCTCCTTCACTTCATTTAGCGCCGATTCCTCGCCGGTGTAGAGCGCCAGCGTGGCGCGCGTTCGGGCCAGCTCGGCACGCAGCTCCTCAATCACCGTCTCCTGCGTCTTGGCGAGCTGACTGGAGTTCACGGCGAATTCGTTGCGGTGCGCCAACACCTGAATCTCCCGCGCGTTCATCGCGAACTTCATCGTGTTGACCGTCTCCTCGATTTGCTTTGTGCTGGGGCTAATGCAGAAGAGCATCATGGTGCGGCAGTTGCCGCCAACACAGTCTCGCAGCAGCCGCGTCAGCTTCGACCCACGACACGGAATAAACATCTTGCCGCCGCCTTTGCCGCCGGTCTGGCGCCTCTTCACCTTCTGCTGGGCAAGGCTCTGCACCATGGCGCCGAGGGCTAAGAGGGAGCGGTTGATGTTGCCGCCCTCGCGCAGGCGCAGACCGGTGTTGCTCGTCGACGCGGCCCGCTCCGACCCCGCTAAATCGCCGAACTGGATCGACGCGATCGTCACGGTGGGCGCGGGCTGCTTCTTGCGCGGTGCGGCCGTGTTATTGGACGGTGTTTGTCCATCGGACACGTTATCCTCCTCGCGCTGGCCTGAAGCGGTGGGAGAGGCGCAGCCGCCGTCATCCGCAACCGCAGCCGCAGGGACATCCCGCACCTCGACCTCCACCGTGATAATCGCGTGTGACCGACTCGACTGCGCGTTGGCCCCTGTCGCGGCAACGAAGCGCTGGGCGTGGCCGTGCTCCACACCCCGGGTGAAGTCCTCCAACGTCTCCGGAAAGATGTGGGTGAGACCTGGGATGTGCAGCTTCCCGTTTCCGCTGCCCGTGGCGCCGCGCGCATCGCTGTCGCTGAGGCCCGTCTCGCGTATTTGGAGTGCGACACGCTTATTCGGGCGCGGCCCAGACGCCGTCGTGCTCGCCGCGCCGCCACCGCCGTCGCAGCTGCTGCCGTCCGCCTTCACCAGCAGGTCGAACACCTCCTCGTTGTACACCTCCAGAAAACTGCACTTGACACGGACGCGCTTGCCCTCCTCCTCCTCCAGCCGATCCTTCTCTGCGAAGATGTCCTGCACCGCTTGGTAGACGATGCCCGCGGCACTCATGGTGCTGCCGAACATCGTGTGGGTTTTGCCGGACCCTGTGGCGCCGTAGGCCAAAATAGAACCGTTAATGCCGTGGAAGACGCCCTCGACAATGCGCTTACACGACTCCTCGTACACCTCAATCTGTGCGGCGTGGGAGTGGAACACGTGGTCGACGGAGAACTGGTACGGCCGCGTCGAGCTGCGAATCGGCTGCGACGCGGGCGTCATGGAAGCAGCGGCGGACGATGCAGAAGTTGGCGAAGTCGCCGCGCGCCCCGTCGCCCTACCGTCCACGCTGGCCGATCGCTTGCGGGCATTCGGATCAATGACGACGATGTCGGAAAGCGCCTGGATACAGTTGTGCACGGAGGGGTCGGCCCTCTCCTTGGTGGAGAGCGGCCGGACTCGCACCACGACGCCGACGCCTTCTGCGATGACGTCTGGTGCGGAGGACGGCGTGACGGGGCTGGCGAGGTTCACAGGCGATGTGGACGATTCCATCACTGCTTGTGTGTGTGTGTGTTGTCGCGGCTATGCTGTCTCTTTGGTCAAGAGAAAGGAAAGAAAGGCGAGGTACAAAAGTATGTGCTCCCCAGATGCCCCTCGTGGTTATGGAGACGAGAGCAGCACCGGAGAAGAAAAGAGAAAAAAGGAAAAGGTGCGGCTTCGAAATTCGAGAGAAACAAAGCAAAGAGAGAAGAAGAAGAAGAGAAAACAATATCTGTAAAGGTACATCTATACATACAAGGTAGGGGTACTGCGAAGGCGTCGAGCACACAGCGCCGGGAGCCGAAGACCAAAGGAAAACGAAAATGAAGAAAGGAGGAAGGAGGAAGGGAGAAGGGGGGGGGCGGTAGAAAACAACGAAGTAGTAACGAGCTTCGTGGCGCTGCACGACAAGAGAGAGAGAGAGAGCTTATCCGGGGGAGAGCAAACGTGTTACCCTTCCTCTTCCTCCCTCCCTCCCTCCCCCTCCCCAGTGCTTGTCAAGCCCTCTTCTTATTCCTCTTCTTTTTCAAATCAAAACCATAGCTGCGTCGTCGCCCGTTCATGATGGAGGCAAACAGTTCACTTCATCGCAGCAAGAGAGACAGTTTATACAGGAAAAGGCACGACAGGTGGCAGCCGAAGAAAGCATACCTTCTTCTTATCACCAGGCCATAAAAGTTCGTTGATGACAATGGCAGTTTTACTTGGTTTTTGATTTTGCTCTGTTTTGGTTCCTATTGAAAGAATACCTATTCAAAACATCGCACGTGCGTTTGCGCTATGCATCCACCTGGAAATAAGAATACGCAGAAAAAGAGAAGCGAACATCCATCGAGTAACGCTGGGAGCAAAAAGAAAATTGTTAAATTGTCTACGATAATATTTTGGATGGATGGCCGTTCTTCTCCACGGATGTTGTTGGTGCCATGTTCTGCCGAGCGCAGCAGCAATGCCAATACGGTAGAGTGACCTCGCCCTCTTTCTCTGTGCGTTTGTCGTCGGTTCGACAAAAGATGTGTTTTCCTCCTCTCTTTTCTTTTCCCTTTTACGCTGCAGCAGCGTTGTACCACACTCGAAGCTGGTCCTTTGCGTACTGCAGCAACGCCTCCAGATTCCCCTCCGCCACCATTACAGCTGGAGGCTTCGTCAAGGTCGCCTGACCCACAAACCCCTCTCTTCTATGCTGCAGCTGCTGCAGCTGCTGTTGCGCTTCAAATTCGGCCTCCGCCTCCTGGATTGCCTCCTCCAGTCGCGCACGGACCACCTTCCACCGCAGCTGCGCGATCTGCGGCTTAGTCAGCCCGGCAAAGAGCTCCTTCAGGGCGACATCCACCGCACCCTTCTGAATCGCTTTCCGTCGCATCTTTACTTCCTCCTCCTCCTTTGCCGCCGTGGCGTGTGCGCTGGAGGACAGCGGTGTCGCGGAGCTGTCAGCGAGCGCGGGCTCCGTCTGGGAGCGCTGCGGCGATGACGACGAGGAGGCAGAGGAAGGGGCACTGGACGGCAGCGGCGAGGCAGAGGCGGCCGCACGCTCGCTGCGTTCACGCCGTGTGACGGAGGGCGAGAGGGAGGGCGATGCCGCCGGGCTGTCCACCGCTACCGCCACTTCCACCGATGGCGAGCGTGGCCGCTTGCGCTGCGTGGACGGTGTTCGCTGCTGCTGCTGCTGCTGTACGTGGACCACTGAAGAACGTCCCGTCTTGGCGGGCGCGTCGTCCAAGGCGGCCAGCGACGGCGCACGTGAGGTGGCTTGTCGACTGCTGCCGCGGCTTCCCCCCAGAGTGGCTCCAGCTCCACCGGTGGTCGACGCAGGTGCGAGGCGGAAAGCCGCGTTGGGTGCGACGCGCACGTTGTCGGGCAGGTACACTGTCTCTAGCAACTTCTGCGGACTGGATTGCGCTGTCTTAACAAAGAAAGAAGGCAGAAGAATTGCGCCCGGGTAGCGGCGGAGGTCCTCCGCGCGACTCTGGCGCTGCCCGAGGCACTCCAGCAACACGCGGCTGCCCAAATCACACATGACACGGGTGGCGTTGCTCGACGGGTCCAGCGCGTCGTCGGAGCGCTTGATGTTGCTCAGCAGCTCCGCCACGAAACCGGCGCACTGCGTGCCGTGCCGGAAGAGCTCGCCGATGAGGAGGTGCCACACGCGCTGGAAATTCAGAAATTGCATCTCGGCTTCCTCCGTCGCGTAGTAGGGGTGGTGAGCGAGGAAGAGCACGACGAACGGGATGGCGTACTCCCAGTAGCAGTAGAGCGCGGCGGGAGACGAGAGGGAGACGCCTTGGCTCGCCTGCCTTCCACGCAGGTGGTCGCCGATCGACTCCACCAAACTCCGCAGGCGGTGGTAGGAGCTCTTCGTGTCTTCGCTGATGGCCGTCAGCAGCAGCAGCGCACCCACGCGCATATCACAGGAACGTTGGAGCAGGAGCGAGGCGAGCTTTGCCTGCACCGCCTCCCGCACCTGTGCCTCCTCCTCAACGGACAACACAACGGCGGCCGCCATCTCCTTTGCGATGGCCGGCGTCGGCGTCGCAAGGAGCTTGACAAGTTGCTTCTCCACGGCGAGGCGGCGCTGGCAGCTGGCAATGCTCGATGGGCCGGCCCGGCCACATGACAGGCCTGCCACAGCCTTGTAGCCCTGCAAGAGGCTCTCCAACACGGCGGAGACGGCGGCGGCGCGCAGACCGTTCGCTGTCGGGCAGCTCAGCGCCAGTCGCGTCATCACCTTGGAGGTGCCGTCCACGATAGCGGCGGCGACGGACATGGTGAGTGTAAGGGGATACGACGGGTAGGTGGCAGGCGGCATCACCGCCGTCATCACCGCCTCCTCCTCTTCTTTCTGGTGGCCACTAGACGCAGCAGCAGGCGCAGTTGAGGTTTGCGGTTTGGGGAGCTTCGCCTGCTCGGCAGAGTCGCTCACATCACGAACCGCAGCGAGGAGGAGGGTGTCGAGGTGCGGCAGCAGCGGAGGCAACTGCGCCTCAGCCGACTCCGGTGTAGAGGAGGAAGAGGACGTAGAGGTGCTGGTGACTGCGGGGGAGCCGGTCGCAGCAGCAACGCGCAGCGCCGAGCTCGCACGTGGGTGCGCCGACAGCGCCTGCACACTCGCCAGCCACGCCACCGTCTTCACGTCGTTCGTCAGCGCCCGCCCGTGCGTGAGCTCATGCGTCAGGTCCGCGACGAGCGACTGAAGGGCTGCGGCGGCGCCTTGTGCGAATTCGGCCACCTGCACCAGCGCCAACAGTGTACGGGTCGCCTGCTTCGCGAGCTGCTTGAGGGACGCCAGCGGGGAAGATGTCGCCGTCGTCGAGGAAGAAGAAGCGGAAGACGAGGCCGCCGACGATCTCTTCGCCTCGTTCTTCTTGACCGCCACCCGCTGCATCGGGAGAGACGCCAATGCCATGGCCCGCAGGGCACGCACCAAGGCATCGCGTTGCTCCGGTGCGACAAGGGTCCTCATCTTCTCGTTTGTGCCGTTCGGACAGGATGCGGATGCAGCGGCGGTGGCCCACTGCTGAAGCGCCTGCAGCAGCAACGCACACCACACAGGAGGCGGCGCCGTGGACTGCGTCGCAGCCGCCTGCAGCGCCTCCGCCAGCCCGGCCGCACTCAACACGTGATACGATGGGGCGCCCGCAGTTAAAAAGAGCAGCGCACGCAGCACCGCGACGGCTTCTGGTGTGTCCACCACGACCTCGGCTCGATCGCTGACGTAGATGCAGCGGTGCAGGCGACGCATGAGCTCATGAAGGTGGTCACGTCGCGTGGGCCACAGCAGCTGCGGCACCAGCGCGTTCTTCACGAAGGCAAACACATCCGGGCTGACACGGCCACGCAGGGAACGCAGCAACACATCGCGGACGTCGACCCAGTCAAGGTGGCTCGAGTCGCACGCACGGAGCAGCGCCCTGCGCACCGTGTCATCCTTCGCGCGGAACAACGCATCCCACTCCCCTCTCTGGGCCCCCGTGGTGTCCTGCAAGAAGCGCAGGAGGCGATGGATGGCGTTGATGCGCTGCTGGCCTTCGACCGACTTCACGTCCCCGTTGCTCGCCTTTACCGCTGCGTGAAACTCAAAAAGCTTCTGTACGGCGAGCCGGAGCTGCGGCTTCTTCTCTGCCAGCCGCAGCAGCTGCGTGAAGTGGGCGGCGTCGAGGCTGCGGCACAGGTGGAGGAGGCCGTCCACGTACGTCGCCGTCGCGGGAGCCGCAGGGGACAGTGCGTGCTGTGAACGACGGGTGGGACTCGGTTCCACAACTGCTGCCGCTGCCGTCGTTGCCGTCTCCTCCGTGGTAGCTGCAACCGGCGCAAACCCCAGCAAGGCGTCCCCCTCGTCCCTCGTGCGCCGTTCTTCGTCGTTGGTAGTGATTTCCGTTTTGACACGAGGTCTGTCGTAGTTGCCTGGCAGTTCGAAATCAAAGAGGGCGAGGTTTGCTCTGCCGATGGATGACCGCGTGGCGGAGGCGTTGGCACTGCCCATCCAGCGGGCCAACGTCTCCTGCTTTCCGCACTCATCCATGTGGACGTTGGACGGCAGCGGAGTGGCGGAGGGGGAAGGCAACAGGTTCTCCACCACCGCCTCCGCGAGCATCACGGCGGTCGATACAGCTGCCGCACCAGCACCAGCGCCAGCCGACGTGCTAGACGACGAGCCACCCGCCTCCACGCGCGTCGCGTCAAGCACCGCGTTCGGAATCCAGGAGAGTTGGTAGGCGTGGTACAGCCGCGTGAGCCCTTCCACAGCCGTATCGCGTACCCGCTTGTTCTTGTCGCGCGTGCGCAAGCCAACTGTTTGCGCAAGGAACGTGGATGGTTGCGGCTGCGACTGCGTCTGCGCCTGCTGTGGCTGCTGGAACAGCAAGGGAGAGGTCAAGGCTGCCTCGATGACGGAGCAGACGGCTTGCTTGCGCACCAGCACGTGCGGGTCGGTTAGCGAGCGACTCCAACATAGTCGGAAGGCGCCCCACAGCTGAGCCTGCTGCGCGGCACAGTTGGCGTATGCGTCTGCGGATACGTGTTCGCTGTTGTTGGCGCCGCTGCGCACGACGCACTGCGCGAGAAGCATGCTGGACACACGCAACGCCTCCATGCGAATAGCGGGCCTCACATCCAGGAAACGGCTCAGGAAAGGACCGGTGAAGATGGACGTGTACGTGGACACGGCTGCGTCGTGAGCCGCAAATACCGCACCAAAGCCGCGTACGAGTAAGAGGCGGAGGTCGTCATTTGGGAGCTCGAGATGCGGCGCGATGGTCGGCAGCACTTGGCTTACCAAATCAACACTCAGCTCTGTCAGCGCGACCACCACCTCTAACACACGTGCCACCTTCCGCAGTCCACGACCTCGGCGTGATAGTTGTGTGTCACGCGTGCGCTGTTGCCGCTGCTGCTGTGGCGGCGGTCGATTCTTGTCTTCCTGATCCTTCAGCGCATCATCGCGTTCCTCTTTGTCGCTGTCGTCCTCCACGTCCGCCTCCTCTTGCAAAACGCCCGCCGCCAGCAACTCCTCCACACCTTCGTTAAACTCGCTCACCGCCCACGCTGCGACCGCGGGCTGCAGCACAACGTCCGCCTGCTCCATCAGCACGCGGGCCGTAACGAGCGCGCCACCGCGCAGCTGCGTCGGACCTCTCACATCGTTGTTCGCTGCAAGAACGCCGGCGAGAGCGGTGCTGCTGCCGCCATTGCCGCCCACGCCGCGTGCGCTCACGGTCGACCACGACGACGACGTCTTTGACGGCGGACGCAGAGTGCACGAGGCACCCGCCAGCTCCTCCAGCAGCGGTGTCAGCTGCGCAGAAGAGATGTCGCGTGTGGCGGCCAGAATGTCGGTGAGCAGCTGAGCCATCTCATTGCACGTCGCTGCGCTCGCGTTGGACGCAGACGCCGCTCGACTGCCGTGGTCGCCGCCGGCGCTTCCCGCTGCCGAAGCAGAAGAGCTGCTGTTTGTACTGGTCGTCGCACAGCGAACGGCGTCAAATACAGACTGCAAGGCGTGTTGGGTGTCTTCGGAGGCCGTGGCGCAGTGCGGGAGAAGGTAGCGAAAAACGTGGGAGACGGCAGCGCGCTCGATCAGGTAAGCGATGCGCTTCAATGGAAGTGGTGCCGCTACCGTCGATGGAGAAGAAGACGCTGAGTAGGAGGAAAAAGAAGGAAGGAGTTCCGCAAAGACGCGTGCGATACACCGCAGCACATCCCCGCACCGTGCAGGTGGAAACGGCAGCGGAGCCACGCCGGCAGCGACGTCGTCGTGCTCCATCGCTTGTTGACTTTCCAGCGTGCTTCGAGGAGAGGGCGGGGGTGCGGTGCTGGCGCTGGTGTTGGTGTTGGACACTGAACTCCCCGAATCCGCCTTGGCTGACCGCTGCTGCCGCTGTTGCTCGTGACGAAGGCGCACCGCGTCGCACAACAGGCAGGCGACAAGCTGAGAAACACCGGGAATTGCGCTAAAGAGCAGCCGCGGCGTGAGGAGCTCCTCCACGTAGGCGGGCGTAAAAGGATTCGTCTGGTGACGGGTGGACGACGCAGCGGCGGCAGCAGCAGCGGCAGCAACCGTGAGAGAAGGCGATGCCGTGGCAGACAGCAAAGGACGAAGGGTGATGGCGCGAACAGCGTTGTAGGCATCCATGAGATAGGACAGCAGGCGGTTGTCGGGGGTCTGCTGCAGCTCTTCTACCGAGAGCAGAAACACGGAGGCGGACGAGGGAGCAGCACCGGGACTAACACCTCTGACCTGCCGAGGTGTGGGAGAACGGGAGACGGAGATGGAGGGAGAAGAAGCAGCAGGGGACTTGTTTGTTTTCGGCCGCAGAGGCGCGGCGGATGAATGCGATGGCATTTTCCCCCCTTTTCCTTCCCTTCTCTCGGACTGCTGCCAGCTCTGGTAAACGTTGCTTTGTTTCCTAGGCGCTTCAGGATGGCGAGCAGGCAGCGGCAACGGTGATCTCCGTCTGCGGCTGCTGCTGCGTGCGCGAAGTATCACGAAGCCCTGACAGGTGAAAACAAAGAACAAATAAGGAGTATGTGTTTTCTGGGAAAATTCTGTGTTGTCCATGCGGTGTTTCGACCTCTTTATTTTCTTGTTCTATGCGCTGAATACAATTCGACGGCAAGTCGGCGAGGATGACAGTATAGCTGTGTTCTTGCGACTGCGGCTGTCTCGGTGCGTGTGCGTCTGTGTCTGTGTTCCCCACTAAAGGATCAGCGTAACGTGCTGTAGAACACCTCGAAATGGCCGCTCTTTCTTTCCTTTTAAGAGTCTGCGAGAGAGAACGAAGAAGGAATCAAATCTGTAGATTGAAAGTAAGGATCGCCAAGGAGGGGAAGCTCGGCTTACAAAAAAAAAATGTATATAGCAAAAGCAGAGTGAGGTAGTTGAGCTGAATCCGTTTTGTCTGCGCATGTGAGTCTGTTTCGATAAGCTCGGCCAAAAGGAAAAAAGAGGAAAGAAGACGAAAAGAATGTCAGCGTGCTCTTGCAAAGCCGCAATGAAATAAGTACGGAGGGGGGGGGGGCTGTTTGCGAAGGGGGTTACCACAGAAGGCGGAGACGATACGGATGGAGCCAAAGGGGAGCGGATGCCTAAGCGTTTCTTTTCCCACACGCAGCTGTTCAGCCTTCTGCGCGTGTGCGTGTGTGTGTTCAAGGCAGCAGCAGATCGCGCACCAGGAGTTGCGCACCGCCGCGTTTTCATCGGACTGTTTATCTTTTGATAAAGGGACGCCCTCCTCTCCTACCACGATCATCTTTGCATACCCACTTTTTCTTCTTCTTTATCCGGATACATTTCGATGTCCCGTTACTACTGTGTTGTGGTGTTTGTCGTTGACTCGCTTCGCACGAGATGAAAAAGAGAAGATTGAAAAGCAACACAACGGAAGCGCAGGAAAAAGAAAAAGAAAACACGGTGGGTTCGAGTCCAAACTGAAGACGTTTCGTCACACCAAGAGAGAAGAAGTAAAAAGGGGAAGCAAAAACACAGAAACAAAACCGGCAGAAAAGCAGGCAGATTTGGTGCTGCGTCAGCTCTGGCGCTCGGTCTGGCCCAACACGACTGACGCAGCCGTCATCGCACGCACTCTCTCGCCCTCAGAAGTTTTGTTTTCTCTTTTTTAGAGACGCATGCTCACCACGGAAGAAAGCAAAAACTGGCGAGAAAGCAAACAACAATGACAGTAATAAGCAATAATAATAATCGCCTCTACGGATACCACGCACCTCATCGATCGTGTAGGAAATAGATTTTAAAAAAACTGAAGAAAGAAAAAAAAAGACTTGAAAGACGCAGGAGAGGTTGAAGAAGGAAAACAAAGCGCGTTGAGACGATGTCGTGAAAACAACAAGAAGAAATAATTTACAGAAGGAGAAAAGGAGAAAAGGAGAAAAGAGATAGTCGGTTAGTCGGCCAACATCATGGTGTGTGGATCGCCGGCGTAGTCGCAGTTCACGACAACCGGCGCATAAGAGCACGGACCTGTCACCATGCACCGCGGGTCCTTCCCCAACACCCGCGCATCGACCTCCTCGTGCCGGAATGGGCCGGGGAAAGCGCAGCGACGGCCATCGTCACCGCCAAGGCTCACGCTGGTTCCCGTGTAAGGCAGGCTGCCGCTGCTGCGTATGTCGCGGAAGCAAGGGGTCGACTTGGACGCTGGATCGTCGTTCTCGGTCTGCGGCCCCTCGCCCGCTGTGCCACGTCGATGTGCAAAGTACGGCTGCATCAGTCGATCGTGCGGCACGGCCGGCACGCTGTAACACGTGAAGTAGCACCGGTTGGTGGGCCCTGTCTGCGCGTGGGGGCGAATAGGGGGAGACGGGCTGCTGGCCTGTGGAGGTGGGGGTAGAAGAGGCGACGGCCCCGCTAGACGACGCACCTCCTGCATTTCTCTCCCAGCCTCGCTGCGGGGAAGTGAAGGGAGACGCGTTGAGCTCTTCCAGGGCAAGGCGCGGCGCGACGACAGGCATGTCGTGGATGGGCTCATGCTTTCCACAGAGCCCCGTGTCTGCGGAGTCATCGGCAGCAAGTGCCTGCGAGGAAGGCGCGTACCGACCCTCGTCGTGATCCCTCGCAGGGTGTTCATCCGCAGCAGACAGCAACGTCACCAGCGCCTCGCCATTCGACGAAGCGTCTGCGCCGCTGACAACCGCAGGCAGCTCCTCGCGACCGCCTTCGCGAAATACTCGCGTGCTGTTGATCGCACCACTGACTTGGCTCTCTCTGCCGTCCACGGAGCACGTATTCCCGCCACTCGCGCGGTCTTGTGTGGTCGCTGCGGACACCACCTTCATTGTGCACCACGACGGGTCCGGCAAAGCCACCGGCGTGGCGGTGGACGGCGCTACAGCGGGTGACGATGATGGAAAAGATGGGCGCGGCGCCTCTGTGCTACTCAACGCGATCTTCTTCATCTCCTCACCGCCATCATCACCACCTAGCTTGACATCCTCTGCACGGTGCTGCACTGCGTGCCAGTAGTCACACGCTGCTAGCACCCGGTCACGCACAAAGACCTCCAGCCAGTTGTCCTTGTTCAGCAATTCCGTCCACGGATCACTGAGGAAGCCGAGGTGGCCACCGACGGGCGGTTCAACGTAGACGATACGCGAATTGTCGCGCGTCATCTCGCGCAGGCGATGCGGCATCACGGTGTGACCGATCACCGGGTCGTCTGCGGTCGAAATCACCAGCGTCGGGATCGGCGTATACGGCAGCCACGTCATGGCCGACGCGTCCACGTGGTAGTGATGCACCGATCGGTAGCCGGCAGATTTTGAGACGACGTGCTCGTCGAAGTGCACCACGCGGCGGAAACGGTACACGTTGCCCTGCACAAAGACCCAGTCGTTGTCGACATTTGGCATGTGCTGCAGCGGTGCGTACTGGAGCACGTAGTTGCGAATGGAGTTGCACATATCGCGCTGGTAGAGAGCCCGCTGTGCCCCGTTGCGGTTCATGTGCTCGACGGTCATCACGTAGTCCATCGGAGCGCAGGCGCAGAGGCAGGCGTCGAGGTGCGGGTCCGCGCCGGCGATGCCCTCTTCGCCGACGTACTTCGACAGGAGCATGCCGCCGATGCTGAGCCCGATGCCGATCAACGGCAGCGGGTGGCCGAAGCGCGCAGTGAGAGCCGGCTTGGAGCAGAACTGCCGTAGACAATCACGAATATCACGGGTGTAGGCGCCGTTAAAGAGGAAGGGTGTGGTGACAGGTGGGGAGTCGCCCATGCCACGCGTGGTGAGGACGCACACATGCAGGTTCGCCTTGTGGAGGACGTGTACGAGGTGCTGCACGTAGTTCGTCTGGGCGTGGGAGGTCAGACCAGGGACGATAAACGCCACACCAACGGCCTCACTACCTGCCGTCAGCTTCTGAAACTCGGACTCCGACGAGTTGGCCTGCGCGTCCTGGTTCGACGTGCCATCGGAGGTGGGGTGCGTTGGAAGGGAGGCGGAGGGCGACTGCTCGAACGGTACATTTGCTGTTGTACGCTGTTCCGTAGCTGCCGCCGCCGCTCCTCCTCCCTGCTCTCCCTTCGCTGCTTGGAAGTGGTCTGCGAGTGCGTTGCCGCCTCCTTGGTGCATCTCGTTATCGGATGACGACGACACCGCCGCTTCACCGGGTGCCTCGCCGAAGGGCTCCTTCGCAGCCGTGTCAACCGGTTCGCCTGCTTTCCGCACCCGACTTGTGTGCTCGTGATCGTATGCCGCAGGCGTCTCGCCCTCCACGTAGCACCAGTCCATCGCCACGTAGCAGCCATCCCAGGCACGCATTTCCTCACGGACGTACTGCATCGGGTGGTTCGGCCGGAAAGCGCCCATGATGGTGCTCATGTGGGGTCCGTAGAGCGGCGCATCGTACCTGAGGTGGCACCTTCTGATGTCTTTTCTGAGGGCTTTGCTTGGAGGTCGGTAGGTCGGCGTACGGAGGGCCTTCTTCGCGGTGGGTGCCGTGGAAATGGACGTCGTTGTCGCCGGTTTTGCAGAAGAACCCGTAGAGCTCGAAGGCGGATGTGGGAAGCGCAGGGAGCGGTACGGTGCATCCAGCTCTTCCGCTGTAGGAGGTGCAGAATCAGACGCAGACGGACGAAGAGGCCCGTCGTGCTCGCTGCCCGTCCGTGTTCCTGATGCAGTGGTAGCGGTGGTGGCCGGTGCAGGGCCGTCAGCGCGTGCCTGAGCGAAAGCGGATGTACTCGCGCCCTCGCCATCGCTCGCCTGAATTCGGGTCGATGACGCGGCCTTCACTTTATTCGTCTCCGCTTGTTCGGTTGCCGCCTTCGTGTCGGGCACAGGGGAGGAACAGAACTGCCGATCCTCCAGAGTCGACGCGCATGCGTCCATCAAGCCGAACACGCGCACCGCAGACTCGGCGCTCTCCGCATTGTGGATGAGTCGAACCTCCCGCGCGGGGTGGTAGGAGAACCCGTGCTTCTGCTTCTCGTAGGCACGACAGGGGCGGCACAGCAGCAGATCCACGCAGGTGCCGACGGCGCATGGGATCCAGTAGCCGCAGATGTGCAAGATGCAGTGGATAATGAAGAAGGCAACCTCATATGGCGTCATAGGAGCTGCGGATTGTGTTTATATATCTACGTACCAGCAGGCGAAAAATGATTCATTAAGGGAGTATGTGCAACGTATTGTGTGTACACCCTGTAGTGGAGAAGCAGAGAGAGAGAGAAGTGACAAGAGAGAATGTGTATAGGTATCTCTCCTACTGATAGTTAAACACCTTAAACGTTATTTAGCGGTGATGTGTGTCTGTGTGTGAGTCTGTGTGGCGATGAGCTCCCGCTGATTGAAAAGAGAGGGAACACCAAACCGGTGGAAAACAAAAATAGAGAGAGATGCGCGTCAGTGACGCACCTCTCACATGTATATTTGGAAATGGGATATGATGTCAAAAGGAAGGAACCACGTGGAGGGGGTGTATATGTGCGTCGCTACAAGGTAGCACCGCGATGAAGTGGCCTTCACCAGACGCGTTTGGAGGAAAAGGAAAAATAAGACAAAGGACAAGAGATGCCAGTAAAGAAGGGTGGCCTCATCTGCTCGCTTCTACACCACCGATCGAGACGTATTACCTTTGCAGTGAGCCAGAGTTCTGGACGAGGTGCAAGCGTGCTTTCGTCTTCAAAGATCCCAGAAAAGCGACGCAGTTTTGCGAGTAGGGCTCATTTACTATTCCTTTTTTTTTTCCTTTTTACGCGGCCACAGGTCGCGCGGAGGGAGAGGGAGAAACGCACACTCAAGCAAAACAGAAAATCAAAATGCCCGCAATGAACGCCGATGTTTGCTCACGTGTGCGAGCCACCGCAACAGCCGTAGTGCACGAGACAAAGGAGTCAAACTTACCCCGATAACTATATAGAAAGTAGTGCACGTCATTTATTGTTTGTTGTCACACGTTTTCCTTTTTGCGGTTGTTGTTAGCAGTTATTCAGTTTCATACGTGTATATATATATGCAGTACCCCGAAGGTTAAAGTCTGGTTTAGCTCTCCCGGCGTTGATGTGTACAACGTGTGTCGCACCGCAATGACAACCCCCCAAGAACGCAAGAGAAGCGCAAGAAAGAGACAGTCAAGAGGGAGGGGAGGGGGGAGGTGGGAGGGACAAAAAAGCCTCCTTGTCAGTAAATATGAATAACAGAATGATACAACACGCCGTCCGAATGCACCGTCAAGAGAGAGAAATCAAAAGCGGGGAAAAAGGGGAATAAATGGAGACAGGAAAACAAGAGAATGAGCAGCCACTATTTTTTGTATCTTGGAGGAGAGGGGAAGCTGCTTCTTGTCTTGTCCTTTTCCCTTTGCTGTTGTTGTAATGGGCATCCGTTCCTCTTTCCCCGCTTTGTCCTCTTCTGCCTTTCACGCGGTGCGCTCGCAGGGTACGCAGGATCCGCCGAGGAGGACTCGTGCACGGCATAAACAACAATGGCAAGCATTTCCGCTTTTGTTTTTCTTCGTTCGGGCAGCGTTACTTTGCTTTGCTTTGTGCTGCCGCCGACGCGCGACAATACTGCGAGGACGCCTTCAACACAAGCCGCTCCGCCTCCGTCGCCTCGCCGCGCCACTCCGCCGTGATGCCGCCCACGAAGCCGAGATGCCCGCCCACGGGAAAGCACACGTACACGACGTACGGGTTCTGCTCCACCAGCGCCCGCCACTGCGCGTCCGGCACAAAAAGCCCGGCCACTACGTCGTTGCGATCACCAATGCACAGCACCGGTGTGCGGCAGCGTGCAAGCCACGTGAATGGCTGCGCCGCGGCGTAGTACTCCCGCGTGCTAGCAAACCCGTTGTGGCCCGCGTTGATGAATACGTCAAACTCCCGGATCGAGGAGATGCGGTTGATGCCTGGGCTCGGCCCCTCAAAGAGCCACCTCGCGTCCACGTTCGGCAGCTGTGCGAGCATCGCACGATTGTGATGAGAGTACTTGCGCAGCCCCACCGCAAACGGCTTTTCGTAGAGGTGCCGGTAAGCCGCCGTGTCGCACATCTTGTCCGCTTCGATCAGGTCGTACGGGGAGGTCACGGTGAAAAGGGCGGAGACGGGGGTGTCGGGTGGCACACTCCCCTCCGGCAAGCTCTCCTTCCTCTCCCTCTCGGCGGCCGCCACGCCCTGCTCGCCCAAGTACTTCATCAGCGTCACGCCGCCAAGGGAGAAGCCGACGGCGATCAGCGGTACCGGCTCTGGAGTGCCGAGACGGGACTGCACCTGCTCTGGGCGCAGGTAGTGGTGCAGGCAGTAGCAGATGTCAGCCGTGAAGGTGGCGCTGAAGAGGCGTGGCACCTCCAGCGGCGTCGTGCCCATGCCGCGGTAGTTGAGCACGCACACCGCAAAGCCGCTGCGCACGGCGACGTCTGCGAAGTGGCGACTATAATTCGTGGTGGAGGCGTTTAGCAGGCCCGGCACGACGAAGAAGATTCCCTTGGCGTGCGGGGCCTTCCCCTTCGCGGCGGGTGCGGCGGCGGACATGTCTGGGGAGGCAGGCGGATAGAGAAAGTCCATGTTGACGTGTTGGCCGCCATCTGCTTCGACGAGCTCGCGTTCAAAGCGCACGGCGGGTCCGCTGCGCAGGCCGGCCAGTACAGTCTCGATGTGGCCGTTGTACAGCGGCGAGCTGTAGCGCATGGGCGGCTGATTCGGCGCCGGCAGGGCAAAGCGCTGTCGAAGATGATGCACGTCGCCGCTATTTGCGATCAGCGTCACCTCACGCTCATCCTTCGGTGCTGGGAGCAGCCTCCACCAGCTCAAGATGCGGCGTGGCCAGCGACTAAGAATGCCAGACAACAGCCGCGGAATGAGGTAAAAGAAGACGTGCGCAAACAGGTGTTTCGCGGCAAACGAAAGGCGGGCAGAGAGGAGCATGGTCACCTTCTGATAAACACTGTTTTGTTGTTGTGGCTGCTGTCGTCGTCGTGATCGCGTGCTGCTCTTCGCGCACACTCCTTCTTTGTTTCTTTTTCTCCTGTTTCAGCGAAGCCCCCGTGCCTGCCGCCGCTTGAAGTATATAGGTCTATCAGAGAAGGAGCTCTTTGTGTGTTTCACACCTGTGGATGTGCCTCGGTGTGCATGACAACCACCAAATAAATAAACAAAAACGATAGAGAGCAGTAAAGAAAGACACACATGAATAAGAGGTTATGTTCACCCACTCTCCCCTCTTCTGCACTTTGCAGATATGTAGATATCAAAACAAAACTAACAAAAAACAGGGGATGATTGGTAAAGCTAATAAGCGAGGAACACGTCCACAATGGAAGGACAGCGAGGTGCCACGTACAGTGGTAAGAGCCTCTCCCTTCTTACAAAACAACAAATATACAAATGTATATGCGGGTGTGTGGCGTGTGAATGGAACGTGAAGAGGCGAGCAGCACTTTCAGGAACAACACACACACACAGAATGACGAGCAATTATTCGGGAAGGAATATGCGAAGAGCAATTGAAAAAAAAAAATATTCTAACACCGTCTTGACAGAAGCGGCTCGCCGAGGAGCAACAGCGCGGATAGCAGAAGAAGAAAACCAAAAAACAAAAACCAACAGAAAAAGTGGGAAAACGATTCCTACCCGAGAAAAAAAAAACGAGCCGCAGAAAGCGCGCAGGCGAGAAGAGTACAAATGCCGAAGAACGAACAAAGAAGGGAACAGGAGCAAAAGGAAGGAATACAACGGAGACGACACACTTCGCAGTAGCGAAATAACGAAGTGAGAAGCGAGTAGAACGCTTACAAAAACAAAAAGAGGCGGTGACAAACGAAGGCAGTGCGCGTCGACGGGACGGCCACGCTGACAACAAAGAGAACAATGTAACGACACCCCTTTTTTTTTGGAGTTACGGCAAAGGCCGACTTCTTCGATGCATTGCGTTGTTGTTGTTTAGTCCTTCGTTTAGAAAGGAAAGTCCTTTGTTGGAAATACTGTTTCCTTCGGTATGCGTAACGGCGCAACAAGGCGGCAAGTGAGCTTACAAGAGCGAAACAAGCAATTAAGATACAGAAGAATAGAATGAATGGCGACGACAGAAACGAGGCTGCTCGGTTGCGTTCTTTCCCGGCGACGCTTCGCACGTGAGCGCCGACCTAAAAAGGCCAATCAAACACCGCAAGATCACACAAACATAAATATACCAGCTTCTTTTCTTTTTCACCGGTGATGCCGCTCTTCTACGCATGCGCCGTCACTCTCGCCACCCTCTCGTCGGTCCGGTCGCGTGCACGACGGTCTCCGCGTTGCTTTCGTAGTCGCAGTCCGCCGACGCAATGAAGTGCGTCATGGAGTACAGCACGAACTGCTCCATCTCATTCGGCGCCTGCACCCACTCCCTCCACGGGCACCCCAGGAAGCCGAGGTGGCCGCCCACCGGCATCTCCACATACACCAGCCCCGCACGGTGCTTCTCAATCACACCCATCCACAGCGGGTCGGGCTGCGGCGCACCACAGATGGGATCGTTCGCCGCCACCAGACACACCTGCGGCGTGCGAGAGAGGTGCAGCCGACAGAAGTTGCTCGCATGGGCGTAGTACGCCTCCGCGCCAGGGAAGCCGAAGTGCGGTCCGGTGATGTACTCGTCGTAGTCCTGCACGGTGCGCAGGCGATCTATGAGTGGGTTCGGTCCAGCGAACAGCAGCTTGTTGTCAATACCAGGCAGTTGCTGAATTACTTGCTTATGTCGCTCGTAGTAGCTGCGTAAGCCGCCGTAGAGGCTGGGGTTGTAGATTGCTGAAGTCAGCGGTGAACGCAACGCCGCGGCGCATTCATTGACGTTGTGAGGCGTGGTGACGGTGTACACGGCGTCGAAGCCGCTTTGCCGGTTCGCTTCGCCCTGCTCCGACACGTAGTTCGTCAGGATCAACCCACCGAGGGAGAAGCCCACGCCGAGGATGGGCAGAGGCTTCGACGGGTCTGGCTGCGCCGTCGACGGCATCTCACGCAACAGCAGCTCCATTACCTTCTCCTGCGTGAAGTACTTCTCCATCGTGTAGCGAAGATCCTTCGTAAACAGCGCACTAAACATCTGTGGCTGCTCGAGAGGGGTGTCGTCCACACCACGCGCGTTCAGCACACACACAGCCATGTTCGCCGTCAGCAGCTGCCGTGCCATGCGGCGCACGTAAAACTCCTTCGAGCTGCCCGTCAGCCCCGGCAGGACCACCACCAGCGCACGCACCCGCACCCCCGCAGCACTCGCGCACGCAGCAGCAGCAGCACCCGTCTCCGCAGGCATCGGCAGCCACCAGTCCAGGCACGTCGGGTTGCCGTCGTAGGACGCAACCACGTCCCGCCGCGGCGCACGCAGCTCCAGTGACGGCCGGTACGCGCCGAGGACTGTGTGCACGTGGCCGCCGTACAGCGGGCCGGCGTAGCGCAGCCACGCAGGCGTCACCGCAGCAGCGTCGCCATCGGCGGCGGAGGGTGCGCCGTGGTGCAGCGCCGCGTTGGCCAGCTGTCCCTCCGCAACGCCCAGGCGCTCCCGCGTGCTGGCGGCTACCGACGACGCGACGCAGCCGACGGGCCCGAGAAGACGCACGCGCCGCTCCGAGCCGGGGTCGCGGCGGGTGCGGAGTTGAACCCCGAGGACGCCGGCGAGGGCCCGCAATGGCCAGCGCACACACAGCGTCCACACGGTGCGGGGGAGCGCGTAGAGCAGCACGTGGACCGCAAGATGGACGAGCGTGAAGGCTGCTTTAGACAACATGTTTTTCTTTACTATTATTGTTGTTTTTACTGTTCTAATGCAATTGCGGGTGGATGTGAAATTGGCCTTGAGAGGAAACGCATGAGACGGTGTGCAAAAACGAAGGGTAAAGAGACTCGGTCGTGGTAGCGCTCCTGAGACGAGGCGTAGCACCGTTAATAAGAGGTAACGCAGGGGGGGAGAAACAGGCGAGTGATCAGGAGCAGGCGTTCCTACGATGGCGACCGGTGGCAACGCCAGTAAGCAGGAAGCGAATACGAAGAAATCACCCCTTCTTTGGGGCCTCAAGTTGTTTGCAAAGAAGCATGCACACAACACTCGACAGCAACGTCGGGAAAGAGAAGTCATCGAAAGGACGCAGAGGAAGATGGATGGAAAGGATAGACAGCCCTCCCGCACACTCCGCTTCCGCAGTGCCCAACACCCACTTCCCCAAAAAAAAACCTTAAGGGAGAGCGATTTGGAATTCTCCTTCGTCGGGGAACTACGTGAACCGCAGACGCACAACTGCTAAAGTCAACGGTGTTGCTGTTTCATATTTTTTCTTCTTTTGCAGTCGTTTATTATCGCCCATACCGGCTTGATTAAGGGAACAAAAGGAAAAGAGAAAATCATAGGAACAATACTCTGAAGGAAGGAAGAAAAGAAAAGAAAAAGAAGGGGGGAAGAACAATCATCACGCGTCAAAAGTGTTTCTGCCATCACATCAGCCCATCGGTGGATCTTCCTTTTATATTTCCTATTTTTGTTTACCGTCACAGCTAATACACCTCCTGCCTTTTCGAGTTCTTTTCGTTGTTGCTGTTTTTGTTTTGTTTTTGTCAGGTAAAGAAGGAAGAACGATCATCGTTATGAAGTGTAGAGTGCGCGCGCGTCTCCCTTTTTCTCTCCTTTTCTTTTTTGGAAGAGAGAAGAAAATGGAGAAAAGGCCTTTCACCGAAAGAAGACAGGAGGGGGAAACACACACAGAAAATATCCACAAATGAAAAGACCAACGGTGCTTCGATGTTGAAACCAAATTAATATATATATATATATAATTTAGAAAAGAGAAAAAAGAGGAACCAACAGCATTTTATATATTCCGCCTCCTCCTCCTCTGCTCCAGAGAGAGAGAGAGAAACCAACCGAAGCGAGAGATCACCAACACGGTACGCCTCCATATATATATACACACACGCAAACACAGCACCACAAGCAGCCGCGCCGACTGGATAAAAGAAAGTGGCAGCGGCGGAAACTACTGAGGACAGCTGCGTTTGCGAGGCAGCCGTTCCAGCTCAGCATCTCTTTCTGCTTCGCAATTTTTCCTTTGTTACTTCCTTTTATTCTACTCCGATGCCGAAAGCAGTTTTTGATGGCTGCGTGTGTGTGTATACGTGTGTGTATGTGTGTGGTTGTGTGTGTCTCTCGCTTGGCTTTTTTCGCCGTACATGCGACGTGGTCAACTCCGCCACTGCAGTGAGGTAGAGAAGGACAGCATCTCGTTCGAGCTGTGCGGCTGCGGCGGGAACATGCCCTGATGGTGCACCAGATCATTTGCGCCACCGCCGCCACCGCCGGTGTTGCCCATCATAAACAACCCATTACCGGAGGCAGACATCGGCGTGGTGGAGAAGGGCGACGGCGCGTGTCCGGCGAGTTCGTGGCCACTCGAGAAGGCTTGCCCGCCCTGGTAAAGCGGGGCGGAGGCGCCGGCCAGTCCAGGGTGCACCCCAGCCCCGGCGGTGACCGTGAAGGCGAAGCCACCACCACCATTGTTGTGGTGATTGGTGTTGCCGCCACCGCCGCTGTGGCCGTGGTTGCTACTCACCGACGCCGCCGCAGCAGCAGCCGAGCCTGGCGAACCCGGCGGCGGCGACGGGCTGAAGGGTTGGGCATTCGCGTCGAGAGAGGTGTAGAGGCTGCCGGCGCTCGCCCCCGGGCCCATCGCCGCACCGCCGCCGCCCACGACGTTTGCGTGCGCCGTGTGGCTGACCGGGTTCGTGCTGAAGAGCGACGGCGCGAGACCAAACGACAGCCCCCCGCCGGCGGAGGGAGGGGCGTTGCTCAGGCCGCCAGGAGTGCCAGCGGTGCCCATCATCGCATTGGACGGGCTCGCGCTGCTGCGCCCGCCGACGGCGTTGCTGGGATTATTGTTACTCGCCAGCGACATCCCCGGACTGCCCAACGAACCGGCCATTGCAGACGCCGGGCTGTTGCGGCTACCCATCGCCGTCGACGCGTTGCTCGCCACGCCAGGCGAGGGCGGCACCTTCGGTGAGACCATGCCGGGGTGTGTGGAGGCAGATGAGCTGCCACCGCCACCGCCGTTGCCACCTAAGCCGTCGAGCAGCGGGTGGTGAGGGGAGGCGCCTGCCGCAGCGGTCACATTGGTATTCATGTTGTTTGCGCCGAGGCCGCCGCTGGTGTTTGCGGTCGTCATGCCCATCTTTGGCTGGGTGGAGAAGACGGGCGTCGCATTCGCTGCGCTGCTTGGCGGGGTCGTGGCTTGGCGCGCCGAGAAGGGATCCGTGCCGAAGGCCGTCAGCCCACCGCCGCTGCTGGACGACAACGGAGGCATGCCGCCGCTGACGGTCGTGCTGTACACCGCAGCGGTGGCGGCCATCCCGCCGGACGCCAGAGGCGGTGGAGGAGCCGCGGCGAGGGTGACCATTGTCGATGTCGACTGCAAAAAGCTGCCGAAGTCGTTGATGGCGAGCGTGTCGTGGTGCGTGGACGACGAGGTCGGCTCCAGCACACGCTTCAACGCTGTCCACTGGCTCTGCTCCGCCTTCTTCGCCTCCTTGCGGGCGAGGCGGGCACGCTTTTCCTCAATGCGGCGCTCCACTGCCTTCGTCTCCGCCTCCAGCTTCGCCAGCTCCGTCTCGCTCGACTCCAGCGTGCGCATCAGCTTCGACAAGTCGCCCTGCTGCTGGGCGAGCTTCTCGGCCATCTTTTCGTTCTCTTTGTCTTCCTTAGCCCGCTCCTTGCTCAGCTTGCTGATTTGCTGCTGGGCTGCCTGCACCGCCTGCGCCAGCTTGTCCACCTCCTTCATGAGCTCCGGCGGGGGCCCGACCTTCGCCAGCAGCGCCTTCCGCTCCCGGTCCTCAGCACGGCGGCGTGACTGGTGTGCGCCGCGGAACTCGTCGTTCTGCAGGTGGCGGTACTCGAGGTTCGCCGTCTCGGCCAGCACCGCGCGCGCCGCCGACTCCGCCACCACGACCGCGCGCACCGTCGCCCGCATTTCTGCCTCGGCGTCCTCCTTCGAGTCGCCGCCGTCGGTGCGGCCGGCAACAGAGCCGTTCACGCTGGGCTCTGCATCGTCGTACTGCTGCTGCTGCTGGGGCGTGGCCTGCTTACTGCCGTTTTTGTTCACGCTCATGCCTGCCGCCCCGCCGTCGAGCGACGTGCCATCGGTGTTGCTGAGCTGCAGCGAGAATTGGAAGACAACCCGGTCGTCAGCCTTGTTGTACGTGCGGTAACCGTGCTGCAACGTGGTGGGCGAGCTGAGGACCACCGTGAGGCCGAGGAAGTCGTCCGCGAAGCCGATCATCTCGCCCGGCGCCGCGGTGACCTGGCGCTCCATGAAGAGGGCCGAGTTGGCGCGGAGTTCGTCCGCCGCGCTCGTCTCCTTCTCCTCCCCGCCGTTGTTGTTGTTCTCCGCAGCGGAGCCGCCGTCCTTCGCACTGGCGCTGCGCTTCTTCTTCTTCGGCTCGGACGTGCGCACGAGGAGGTGCACCGAGAGCGGTACACTGTAGCGGTGCCAAACTAAAAACTTCAGCTCCTCCTTGTCGCTCACAATCGCTGCGCGCCATTTAATCTTACTGCAGCTGAAGCGGTTGCTGATCAGGCGCTCGCGCAGCATGCGGCCCATGTTGCTCGCGTTGTCGATGGTGCACGTGTAGTTGCCCGGGGCGTGTTCGTGCACCTGCAGACGTGGAATGAAGCTGATGTGGGCAAAGGCCAGCTTCCCTTCCTTCATGGGGTAGAAGAAGGCGGCCAGCTTCTCGGCGATCAGCTCTGGCATGATGTTGCTGTCCGCGTTGGCCGAGTCGGAGAGGGAGATGCCCAGCTCGGCGCACGTCTTCTCCAGCAGGGCGAGTGGCTTGCAGGTGAAGAAGAGCAGCACGCCAACGCCGTTGATGGCGCGGTAGACGTCCTCGGCCTCCGCGGCGACCCCACCGCCGAAGCAGCGCGCAATCTCAGTCAAATTAGCCGGCGAGTGTCCGGCCAACTCCTGCCGGAGGCGGAACAGGAGCAGGTTGAAGTGACGCTGCGCGGCTTCGCGGTTCCACCCGAGCAGCAGCGGTGCATCCTTCTGCTGACTCCCGAGGTAGCTCCACAGCATCGACACGGCGACGGCGGCGGCCTCCGTTAAGCAGTAGCCGACCTTGGCACTGCTCAGCTCCGTCTCCGGCGCAGCGAGGGCCAAGGCACTGCTCTCCGGGTCACCGAGAAGAAGACCGCGCAAGTTGCCCGACGTGCTGTCCGACACCTCATCCGCGGCCAACTCCTCCAACGTACTGCTGCTCAGCACGCGCACCTGCTCCACACGCTTCTGCAGGTCGGACAGGTTCGCCGCGCTGTTGGGCGTCACGTCGACATCGCGGGCGGACGGCGGCGTCACCGCGGCAGTCGCCGTTGCAGCCTCCGTGTCCTTGCTCAGGCCGTTCACGTTCGCAGCCGCAGCCGCAGCCTTCCCCGCCACCGCCGCACGCTGCTGCAGACGGACCTGACCGAAGAGTTGCGGTCCCAGCACATCGAGGAAGCTCTGGAACGGATTGCTGGCTTGCAGGTCGATGCTGCCCGGGACACGACCCGCGGCCCCACCACTGCCTGTGCCGGCCCCACCACCGCCGTTGCCGCCACCTCCACCAGCACCACCGCCGCCGCCGTTGCCGCTGCGCTGCCCCCGTGCGCGCGTTTCCGCCGTGTCCTCGCTCTTGCCCTCCAGTCCGGCCGCGCCAGCGCCGCCAGCCGCCCCTCCGGCCCCCGCGGCGGTGCGGCCTTTGCTCGTCGCCACCATCATCGCACGGAAGAGCTCCAGTTGTGTCAGGGGGTCGGAGTAGGCGGACGGGTCGAGACCCATGTCCCCTGCCAGCGCCGCCACCCCGCTGCCCGGCTTCTCTTTCCCATCCAGCGCTCCACCGCCGCCGGCTGCCGCCACAGCCGCCGCCCCCCGTGCGTAGTTGCCGATGCTGCGCTGCATCATCTCAAACATCTCCTCGAGGTTGTGGCGTCGACCGGCAGCGCTGTAGGCGTCGTACTCCGACCCACTGGTGCCCCCACCAGGCGGGCCGGTGTTATTGGGACTCGTGGTGGAGGGCGGGGCTGGGGCCGGCGTCGTGTGTCCCGTCGCGCCGCTGCTCCCGCTCGTGCCGTCCAGCTCGTCCTCGTCGTCGCTGTCCGCGGCCTCCGCGGAGGGCGACCCGCTGCCGCCCTTCGACGACGCGGCGGCGCTGTTCGCGCTCGCGTTGGTGTTGGTTGTCTGCGCCTGCCGCCGCTGCAGCTGAAACACCTGCGACAGGCGCTCCAACGCGCCGGGGGAGATCTGATCGAGGCGACGGCTAACATCGTCGCCGAAGACGGCCGCCGCGGCGTCGCTGCCAGAGGCCCTCGCATCCGCATCCTCAAACAAAAGACCGCCGTTTCGGCCGCGTGGGAGACCACCGCTGCCGCCACCGCCACCGCCAGGCGTCTGCTGCAGCAGCACCCCCAACTCGCTCATGAGGGCTGGGATGGTGGAGCCGACCTCGACGCCCTTTAATCGCTCACCCGAGGTAGCGTGGGGGAGGGAATCGAAGGAAGGTGCAGTGGTGGCTGAACTGGTCGCGGAGGCCGTCGGAGCTGCGGCGGCGGCGGCAGTCGTGGTGGTGCTTGCTGCTGTGGTGGTGCCTGTAGTGTTTGTTCTGGACGCCGAGTTTGGCTTTTGGCCTTTGCCAGACGAGCCGGAGGCGTTGGTCTTGTTGCCGCCGGACTTGTTAGATGGCTTGCTCGGCATCACGAATGAACTTCCGCCTTTTTCTTCCGTTACGGGGAGGGAGTTTGAGGGGAGTTTGTTTCCTCTTCGAGAAGCTTCTGTGTTTGTGTATGTGCGGGTGCGAATGCTTGGCTGTTCCTCTCAGAAGAAAAAACGGCGCCTCAAAGAACGAATACCCCCCCAAAAAAAAAAACACGTAAGAGTGCGGCAGATAAGTGAGACAACGCATATATAGATACACCTGTGTGTCGAAACGAGTGCTGCCAAAACGGAAAGGAGAGGAGCGCAAACACCGTTTTTACTCTCTTGCTTCTTTCGTAATACGCGAGAACGCGTGGTGTGAACCAACACACACACACACACACAAAACAAAACAAACAAAAAAGGAACGGCGAGTTCTATCACCTACTGCGAGTTCCTCGACTTCGTTCAATTACCTTCTTTTTCAAAGGAAAAAAAAGGAGGCAGCTCAAATTGCGCGGTCAGTTCCAAGCGGACATGCACACGCGCTCGCCCGCAAACTTATGCAAGATGCTAGAACAAAAACACAAAACGAAAAGAGGTAACACAAAACAAAAATAATTACAGGCGCGGCGCGCATAAACAAAACAGACAAACAGAACAAAAAAGGGAGTTTCTTCAAGTGCAGCCTTGAAGGCATAAACAAAACAACGTAGCTACTATTGGATTTAGCGTGTTTTTTTATATTCTCTCTTTTCTCCGTCGATGTTGTTGTTCCGCAGGTGTTAAGTAACGTGTGGTTGGGAGTGGGATGTAAGAGGAGCAGGTGTGTTGAGCACACGTGAATAAATAATAAACAGAAAAGGCAGTGCGGTGAAGAGGTGATCGATGCCACGCGAAGTCGTACGTGAGATAACCCCCCCGCACACACACACAGAGAAAAGAAGGAGAAGAGGCGAAAGAAAAAAGAAAAGAAGGTGGAAAGGCAAAGACAATGGCACCAAAAACACGCTCAAGATTTGTCCCACTGGAGGAGAATCTTCTTCCACGTGAGGAAGCCAATTCGAAGATTCATATCGGAGTGCTTCTGCGCTTGTTGTTTCTCTCTTTTCAAAAGAAACAACAAGAGCAGGCCTCTGAGGGGTTTTCTTTCTGTTGATCAAGCACAGCGCCATTCGCTGCCGTGCACTACAACCGCCTGGGGACTGCATCTCCTTCAGCATCAAAAGAACCGCTCTGTTGTTGCCGTTGATTTTTTCATGCGGACTCACCTCTGCGAAGCGGCAGCGGCAGCAGCAGCGGCAACGAGGTCAACGCCATTTTCAGAGCCGTAGTGTTTGCAGTTGCCTCTGTGTGCGCGTGTGCGCGCATCCCCTCCCCCTCTCCCTTATCCCTCCTTCACTGGCAATCCGTGACTCATGCCGCATACGTGTTGCGTACGGTACTTTCCCCTTTCTTCTTTACCGCGACCGGCAGAGGCCTTTCTTTTGGTGTGGGGTTTTTGTTGTTGTTTTTGCTGTCTTTTCAACTACTATTATTATTTACAACTAATTTAGAGAAGTGACAGAGAAGAAGGAAAGGTCCGAACTGTCATGTAAACAAAGAAGGGTTTAAAAAAAAATAATCAGTAAAAGATAGAGAAAAGAAAAGGAGAAGATACGGCGCGTAACACTACCTGAAAAAAGCAAAATCTCGAGACCAGCTGTGTCTTGTCGTTCTCTTTCTTGCCGAAGAAAGAAAGAAGAAAAAAGAACAAGCAGCTTTGCGCCACGCCGACGCACGCGCAGGAAGAAACAACAGTAATAATAAGAAAAACATACACCGAATAGGGCGGCCGGCTAAAACATGTCGACTTCATCATCTTTATAAAAAAAGAAAAAGAAATCGCACGTCAAGAAGCAAGCCCCCCGCTACTCGGGTAAATTGCCTCGTCCTCCTTCATCTCATCAGAAGAAGAAAAAAAAAAAACCACCGTCAATCCAAACCAACCCTTTCCATATGTAACGAAAGAAACAAGAAAACACGAAGCGAAAATCCATGTCACTGGTATCTTCTTCCTTTCTTTTTTCGTCGGCAACTGCCAAAACAAAAAAAAGAAAAGAAAAAGAGCCTTTTTGCTAACTCCTGTGTGTGTGTGTCGACAATAAAAGGCGCATCAATACCGAGAAAGAGCATCATCATCATCATCATCATCATCATCACACGTAACAACAGAAGTGGTTGATGAGGTGCTAAGCAAAAAAAAAAAAACAAGAAGAGTAGATCATCTGTTGCGTCTTTTGAAGAAGAACACGGAGAAGCTTTCAAAAGGCTCACTACGGTGAGAGACAACACAGCGACAACAACGGGGGAAAAAAGGAAAGAAACGCTTTGTACGGGGAGTTCGGCTTGCGCCGTACCCCAAAAGCATGGCGCGCTAACATGGAATGCAACAACAATCAACAAACAGAAGGAAAGGAGACAGAGAAATTAAAAAAGGAGAAGAAAGGCAGGAGCAGCCGGGAGAACAAAAAAGAAGAAAAAAAACTGAGCTTTCTCCTCTCTCCATCTGTTTTTTTTTTTTTGATTTCTCATTATACGTAACCGACGAATCATCAAGACGCTGGTGTTGACTTCGGCGACTGTCTTTTTCCTCTCGTTTTTTTCTTCGTTTAATAACTTCACAAACCTGATTCAGCAGCGCTATTTTTGTCTCGTTTTCATTTATTTTTCTTAGTTGTTGATCGCTTGTTGGGAGCGTTAAGTATCTTGCGCTGTTCGCCAGTTGTGACATACTTGTTTCTTTCGTTCGTTGCCCACCGACACGCATAGGCGGGCGCATCGCTATCCTCTTTCAGGAAAAAAAAAAGCAAAGAAGCTGCTGCATTCGATGCTCGGAAGTCGCACTAGGATTTACCTATGTATATATATTCAAATATAAACATATATAATGTGAGACGTGGGTACGTGCAGGCAGTCTTACGCTGGAGGTCAGAAGGCGGTGGTGAAGGCACGTGAAGAACGTCCCTTGTCTTTGCTTCTCTTTTCGTCGGGGAGAGAGAAGAATCACAACTATATTTTCGTTTTTGCAGGAGGAAAGGAAACAAACAAAAAGAACGTAGCTCACCGGGGAAAAAAAGTCTCAAAACAACGATCTCGATTTCTCACCGTCTCGCAGGGGATTAAAAAAAAAGACAAAGAAAAGGGGAAATTCATTACGCACAGACACAACCGTAGAGGTTAAGCTTAACGCACAGAGTACTTCATCGCCATCACCGTCGCAAGAGGAGAGAAATAATAATAATTAAAAAAAACAAGGAGATGATCATTCGTTGCGGACTCCTTTTATCTTGTTGCTGGTGGTAACGGGATCTGGTTTCCTACTTTTTCTTTCCTTTCCCGTTTCTCTTTTGGCTTTGTCGTGGTCGTTTGTATCGATAGCAGCGGTAGGGCGTCCTTCGTTTGCTGGATCGTTTCTTTGCCATAGTCAGAAAGGCGGGGGGGGAGGGGAGGAGGCAGCTCGCGAGGCCCCCAACAACTATCAAAAAAAAGGAAGGATGTGCGCGAGAGCGATCTAACGGCCCGTGTCTCTCTGTGCAACACCTCGTCCGTACTCTCGCTCACCAGTCTTGCTCTCCGTTCTCTTCGTTAGCACAAAGGGGAAAAATGAAAAAAAAAAGGAAAGACCGATAATGCACTGAAGCAATGAACAGAAAAGAAGAAGAAAAAGCATGCCGCTTTCCTTCTGGCTCTCCTTATTACTTGATGCCGTGAGCAAGGTCGTTTGATTTCTCTTCTTTCGTTAGCAGGAAGACGAAGGCGGTGGATACCAAGTTGAGCGCAGCAAAATGACAAAGACCACAGCGAGGGAGCTCACACACACGCACACCGTGCGTGCCCACGCGTTCATCTTTCCGATGTCAACCTCTTCGCATCGCCAGAAAGAGCAGAAGAGAGAAAACACGAATGAGGAAGGCCCAGAAAGGAAGGCAGAGGAACGAAGAGGACGCAGCGCCACCCCAGTACGGAATGTGGAACTATTGGTAGCCGGCAAGAAAGCACACGTTACGTGGATGATATCAATGAACCATATTCATTGGATGGGTGAAAGGCCAAGGGTTCAACAACGAAGAAGAAAGGGGGCGGCTCTCTTACTCGTTCACGTTTGCTTGTTTGTTTCTTTACTGCCTGCTGAGCTTTACCAGTGAGGGCGCTGCTGCGGGTAGCCGCTGTTCTGGACGGAGTTGTACTGCTGCTGCTGAGGGCGGAAGCCCAAATCCATGCCGGGCTGCTGCTGCTGGGGGCGCGGGTTGCCGACCTGCGGCATTGGACGGCTGTACTGCTGCTGCTGCTGCGCCATCATCGGCGGAGCGCGACTGCCGCTGAACTGCTGCGGCTGCAGACCGCCACGCATGCCACCGCGGTGTCCGCCCTGCATGTGGTAGCTGCGCGGACCGTAGTTGCCTTGGTAGGTGTTCTGATACATGTCGAAGTTCGGCGCCCCGCCCATCGCCCCCTCGTTCGCCCAGCCGCGCTGGTCGGGGACCCACTCGGACATGCCGTAGCCGGCGCCACCCATGTACATGCTGCTGCGGGTCTGCGGCGGCTGCTGCAGCGGCTGGGGGTGCTGCTGCTGAATCTGCGGGGACTGCGACGACGGCGCCGGGCGGGGGGAGACCTGCGCCGCGGGGGACTGCGTCTGCGACGTGCGCTGCTGCGCCGCCTGGGCGGCGGCGGCCTGCTGCGCCTGGAACTGCGCCTGCTGGGCCTGGAGCTGCGCCTGCTGCGTCTGCAGCTGCTGCCGGTCCACGCGCAGCGCCTCCGTGCCGGCGTGCAGCTGGCGCTCGCGGGCCTGCAGAGACGCCTCCATCGAGTTCAGCTCCATCTCGCGGTTCTTCAGCGCGTCCTCGTGGGTGCGCTTCGTCTGCTCAAAGGCGGCCCGCTCGCGGTTCAAATTCTCGATCGCGGAGGTCATGGTGCTCTGCTCCTCCGGCGCCTTGAAGGCGACGTTGCGAGCCAGGTTCTCTAACACCGCCGTCGGGTACTCGGCGGAGTACTGCGGCTGACGAATCTGGAACTGGATATCCTCATCCGCCCAGCTGAAGTTCGTGTCCGGGACGTGGGCCACCGCAGGCGCGGCAGCCGCGGCGGCCTCCGGGGCGGCCACCACCTCCGGCGCGGGCTCCGGGGCCGGCGCAGGGGCCGCCTCTACAACCGGCTCCGGCTGCGGAGCCGCGATGGGCTCCGCCACCACCGCAGCGGCGGCCTCCTCCACCGCCGCCGTCTCATCCGGCGTCTCCACCGCTGGGGCAGGGGACGGCGACACCGCCTTCGCCGCCTCCGGCACGGGCGACGCCTTCTTCGCTGCCGCAGGGGCAGCAGCAGCTACGGGCTCCTCCGCCGCAGGGGCAGCAGCGGCCGCCGCAGCAGGGACAGGGGCAGCCGCAGGGACAACAACCTTTGCCGCTGCAACCGGCGCCGCCGGCCTCGTGCCCGTGCGCAGGGCATCCAAAAAAGTCTTCCCCGCCGGCGCCGGGGCGGCGTTGACGATCTGCGACTTCACCTGCGGGCCGGTGTGCACCGGAGCGGTGGCCTCCTCCTTCGGGGCGTGGCGGTCGTTGCTCTTGGGGTGCGGCTTCGATGCGCCGTTGCGCACAACCGACGCGGCAGTCTTCGGTGGCATCGCTCTTCTCTTGTACTTTGAGTTTTCAGCAGGTGTTTTTCTCTTGATGAAGCGGGAGAAGGCAGCAGAAAAAAAGAAGACGAGATGCAGATCGGTCTGGAGGGCCTTTCTTTCCTTTTCTCCTTCCTTTCACTGTGCTGAGGATGATCGTGGGTGTGAGGGGGAGGGACGCGTGGGTCTGGTCGTGTGCGGGAATGCGAGAGCTACGGAACGACGGAACGGAGAGCACGTGCGTGTGAGTTTTGGGGGGAATTTTCTGTTTAAACAAACAGTAGTCACCAGCGTGAATGACAACAAACTAAAACAGCCAACGGGGTCTTCGATAAGGAAGAGACAAATAACAGAAGCGGAAGAACAAGGCTTTCTTTCCCGCTTTATCTTTTAACAATAACAATACTGAACGACAAAAGGGTTGTTTGCTTGCTTTCTTAAGAACGGACAGCTTTTAGGTTTTTTAAAACTACTTAATCAAAAAGAAAAAAATACACGAAGAAAAGAAAGAGCGAGAGAGCGGAGAGAGAGACGAGATCGTTTGTGATGAAACGAATCTGTGCGAGACACACAAAGGGAGCGGAGAAATATACAAACAACAATGCAGTTTATATATATAAAGGTATCGTGTGTGTGTGTGTGTGAGTGAGAGAGCGTGTGTAGGCGTGGTTGTGTTGGATAATAATAATAAATAAATAAAGAGCAAGGATGAGTTGCCATGAGAAAAAGAAAAAACAAAATAGACGAATGAGTAGAGGTAGCAGCGCGTATGAGAATGGAGATTTAGTTTACGGGGCGGGAAAAGTGGGAGGAGGAAAGACGATGAGAAATGCAAGTCATCGCCTCCTTTCCGGATAAAACCCACCATCTTTCCCTCTTTTTTTGTCCTGGTGCTATCGCGGAGTCCAAAGCGGATAACGAAACCAGAGACTCGCTCAAAAAATCAAAAGCAGTAAGCGAAGAGCCTTTGTGTATAGCTCGAAGACGCGCGTCGGCGATGAACGCATGCAGAACACGCACACACACACATACAAGACCGTATGTGCGACCTTTTCTATTATTATTCGCATGTCACAACTACCGCGACCTTCAATGCCTTCGAACATAGATTCTTTTTCTTTCTTCATTGTGGTGGTGGTTTTTCACTTCACGAAACTGCAAGCACAAGCGCGGCATCGCCAACGCGATTTTTCTTTCGTTTTCCAAACACATCAAAGAGTTCATTTTCAATTCGGGAAACAATCCGTTAAAGACAACACAAGATGGAAGGCAGAAGGCGGCACATCTCTTTTTTCTCTCGTCCCCTGCCTCTATGTTCAAGTTTTCATTTTCTTTTGTTGTTTTACATGACGCTCCAGTTCTTCACCAGCAAAAAATATATATATACATATACATATACATATTATAATGCTACCGCTGCATCTGGACAAAGCTATTTACATGGCTCGGTACGACCTTCAGAAGGAGGAGGGAGAGGGAGAGAAGGAAAGAAAGAGACCAGAGCCGCCCAATGCCAACCCGTTCATCTCTAACTCACCGGGACGAGGGCGGCGTCGTCTACCTCCTGTGCAAAGGGGAGGTAGTGCACCTGCCCACCTCCGACACTGTACAGCTGCAACAGCGCGGACGCCTCATCCGGCCGCAGCGCCACCCCCAAAGCCTTCAAACAGGCAAAGAACTGCCCGTCCGTCACGAAACCCTTGCGGGCGCGGTCGTACTCGCGGAAGGCCGTGATGGTCGCAGTGCGGCGGGCACGCAGCATGTGCTGCACGCGCTTCAGCGTCGTCTGGCCGAACACACTCGCGGCGGAGCTGGCCGATGCGGTGTTCGTCCCCAGGGCCGATCGGCCGCTGCCCAGCCGACGCTGCGTCACCGCCGCGATCCCCACACCGTCCGCCAACATCGCCCGCAGCGTGCACACGAACGCCGGGTAGTCGATCTCGCCGGGGCACTTCGCAGAGGGAAAGCCGCCTTCCAGCGTGCACAGCTCCTGCTCTGTCAACGAGGTCATCCCCAGCATGGACAGGCAGTGACGGAAACGGGTGGGTGTGACGTGGTGGTGGCGCAGCTCGTCGCCGTCGGGGAAGAACTCCGACACGCGCGGGCGACGTTCCTGGAGAAAGAGGCAGATCTTGGTTAAGAGGTCATCCACATCCGCGGCTGCCTCTTCTGACGCCGCCCCCGCTGCCGCCGCCGTGCCGGACAGCGTTTGCACCGCCCCAGCAGCGAGAGACGCAGCCGGCGACGTCCTTGTTGCCGTCACAGTCGTCGCCGTCTCCGCTGCTCCGGAAGAGGCGCTCTCCTCGCCGCAGCCCACATCACGAATAAAGGCGAGGTAGTGCACCTCGTCGGCGTGGGCGGCGTCTGTTTGGTAAGCCGCCGCCACCAACTTCAGCTCCGGCTCGCTGAGTGGGAGGTGGTGACGCACGCAGGCCTGCGCAAACTGCTGCGGAGTGATGACGCCGCGGTGGTTGCGGTCAAAGTCGTTAAAGAAGGGCATCAGCAGCGCGTTGTGCACCCGCACGTTGTGCTGCACGCGTGCCAGCAGACGCTGCACCTCGGGGCTCACACTTTCCATGCGAGTGGCGGGCCCGCCGTTGAGGCCGCTCTGCTGCTGCTGCTGCTTTTCGCTCTGCAGCACCACCACCATCGCCTTCACCTCACTTTGCAGCTGCGCGCTGTCCACTGCGCCGGCGACTCGCGTTGAGGCGAAGGCGGTCTCGAGGGCGGCGAGTTCCTGCGCCGTCAGCTGCACACCGGCTTGGTCCAGCACGCCGCCAAGTCTGCCGCTCAGCACGGTGCCGCTGCGCATCGGGTCTGCCTCCTCCAGAAACGTGGCGAGGCTAAGACGGCGGGACATCACCTGCTGCGCCACGCGTCGCACCGCCTCCTCCTTCGTGACCGCCGCTCCATTATTACTGCTGCCGTTCGTATTCGTGCTACTCGCGCGTTGACCCGTGAGGTGCGGAGCGGTCACCGCCGGCTGCACCGCACCACCGTTCACCTGCGATGGATCGACGTCCTGGACAAAGACGTAGTAGTTCACCTCGCTGCTGGGTGTCCCATCGGGGTTCGGCACGGTGTACTTGCGAATCAGCAGCTGCAGCTCCTCCGGCGGAAGCAGGATGTTCTGCGTCGCCAGCCCGCGCGCAAAGCGGGTGTGGGTGCACGTGCGATGCTCGTAAATGCCCTTTCGCACGCGGTCGAAGTCACGCAGAACAGGGCTGAGATGGATCCGGTTGGCGCGGATGTTGGCCTGCAGTTTGCTGAGCAGCGCCTCTGCCTTGTCGCGATCGTCGGTGCTCGTAAGGTACGTGTCCGGCGCGTGGGCGGTGGCGAAGAAGTTCGTCTGCACCTCGCGGCCATCCGCCGCCGTCTGCGTGGCCTGGGAGGGGTGGATGTCACGCAGAAAGCTGCGGTAATCGACCATGCAGCTCTCCAGCGGGCCGATGTAGCCGTTGCTGTAGTACCGCGCCAGCGTTGCCACATTTTCGTCGCGCAGGGCGAAGTGCACGAGCGGCATGCGGCCGAGCGCGGACTCGAACTGCGCCGCCGTGACGCGACCCGTCTTCATCTTGTCCATGTCACGCAACGCATCTTCGTAGCGGACACGGTAGAGGGCACACTGCTGCTGGAAGATCGAGATGAGCTCCTCGGCGGTGAGGTCGGGGTTCGCGAACGAGTCGTGCGACAGGCCGGAGGTGGTGGACTGGAAAAAGGCAGCGTGCGAGCCGGCGAGTGTGGCGGACCGCGTCTTCGCCGTCTCTGTCATCGCGTTCGTTCGGTCGGGCGTCGCCTCGTCCTTCTCCTTCAACGATGGGTCCATGGACCGGCACCAGGGCATGTAGTACACTCCGCCGGCGCCATCGCTGTACTGCTTCGCGAAGAGTCCCATCGCGTCCTCGGACACCGAGGAGGAAAAGGGCAGACAACGGCGGAACTGCGCGGCGGTGACCCGGCCGGTCCGCAGCGGATCTAGATCGCGGAACGGTCCCGTGAGGCTGGTGCCGTGCGCCTGGATGGCGCGCTGCAGCATGAGGCTGACGGGCGCGAGACGTGCTTGCTCGGCGGCGGTCAGCGCGGCGCTCGCGTTGGAGCGGCGGAAGGCGACCACGCTGCCCGGCGCGGCCTGCAACGCCTCTAGAAAACTGTTGTACATCACCGGTGGGTTCTCCTTCAGCTCGGCCGAGGCAGCAGCGGTGGCGTCCATCGCCGCGGCCGGGGTGTCGGGCGTGAAGGCGGCCACCAGCACCTCGATCTCCTCGCCGGAGAGCTGCATGTCATTGCTGGTGAGGACCCGGGCGAATTGCGCCGCGGTGATGCGACCAGAGTGCAGACGATCAAAGTCGGCGAAGAAAGGTTGCAGGGCGATGCGCCGCTTGGTAGCCTGTGCGCGAACCTTGCGCACGACGGCGTCTAAGGAAGGCAAAGAAGTTGCCATGGAGTCACACGTGAAACTACGCTGTTTGCTGTTTCTCTGTGTTCTTACGTGTGTTGTTGTTGCGGTGGAGGCGGTTTGGCTGTTGCAGAGAAAGAGAGGAGGAGTGCACCTCACAGGTGATTGGGCAGGTTATTGTTGCGGCCCGTTGCTGATTGCTGTCCTGCTTCCGGTTGTCCGCTTTTTTTCAAGGGCGCGTTCAGCTGGTGCGCAAGCGCTCTTTCGGAATGCGTAGCCGAGTGCACGAGGAGAAATCGAGAGGCCACGAGAGTTGTAAGGAGAGAGGGGGGGGGAGGGGAGTCGGTGAAAGAACGAAGAACCGAACAGCAATAGAAGAATAGAACCGAGAGAAGAAAGAGGAGGGTAAAGGTGTGGAGGAGGCGAGAATCATTCACAATAATGATAATGACGTTGTCCCTCAAACCGAAACAGAAAGAAGGGAGAAATATGCTCTCACGGATGGAAAGGATGTAGACAGACCACTGCATGGGAGCGTCCTATTACCCTCTTGCCTGGTGTGCTCCATTACGGCATTACCCACAGTAGCAGAAATCGGCATCCTGCGATGAGACAAGAACGCAGGTAACGAGCGTTTATTCGAGATTTCGATGAAGCACAGGAGCAACTGCACAGAAGAAGGAAAAAAAAACTGTCGCTCACGCAAGCGCATCACTAACGAGTGCCGCCGAGCACGTCTTGTCCCCCTTCCGCACAGCTCTTCCTCATTAGACCAATGTAACGCCGCAGATGTCTCCGTTCGGCACTTGGTTTGAACGAGGAGAAGGAAGAGAACACAAAAGCGACGGACCTCGGTACGACAAGGACAACGAGGCATGCAGATCACCCGGAGTTGCACACCATCCGCACACGTACCCACACGCGCATCACCACGAATACGTCCCGCCACCGCGACAACGCAACGCAGCGCATAAAGAAAAAAACGGTGCGAACCGAGCTGGGAAAAGGGTGGCTGACTACTTCGTCTCGCTCCCCCGCTGCGGCTCCACCTCTTTCAAGGCGGGAGCTCGGAACGGCATCACCGCGTCCACCCTGTTGACGATCTCGCGCGGGTACATAAACGCGGTCAGCACCAACGCGGTCAGCAGGCCGTTCCGCATCATCTTCACCCCACCCCACGGCACACTCTTCACCACAACAAACGAGCTCGCCAGCGCGATGCCGACGGCAGGCACCACCCACTGGTGCGATTCGAGGTGCGAGCTCGCCTTTGCCGACTGCATCGTCACAAAACTATCGGCTGCCGCCGTGTACCTGCGGGCACGGGCAAGGTAGGCCGGGACATCCACCAGAGCGTTGATGGACGCCGTGGCCCGTGTGGCGACGGTGCGCACCTCGGACACACCCCGCTTCACGTACGGCCACTCACCGCTCCACACGACGAGCGGCTGCGAGGGTTGCGCGTTGGCCATTGCGAACTAAAAGCGATGAATTTAAAAAAAAGAAAAGAAGAAGAAAAAAGAAGATCTAATGACTAGGTGTAACGCTACAGAGGAGTGAAGGCTACTCGGGGGGGGGGGTTCCTGTGTGTGTGCAACGCACGTGTAGCATAGATGGGACGACGATGGAAGCTCGATAAGCCTGGTAGAGTGCTTCAAGAAAAGAAAAAACGTTCAGTGACTCTCGCACAATCTACTATTCAAACCTATTATGTGAAGGTGTGTGTGAGTGTGTGTGTGTGTTGCTACTTGTCGTTTTCACTGCTTGTGGAAGAGAAAGACGAGGAGTAAAACCTCTCCGAGTCGCGGACCGCTCCTTCTGTTTTATCGTCGACGAAGGGCGGCAGGACGCCATTTGAACGACCGCAGTAAAGAACAAGAAGAAAACGAAAGGTAAAGAGGAACGATCGATGGAGCGTAAGAGAGGCAGCACGGACTAACCTCGTCAGCCGCACCGCTATCGTTTGCCACATCTTCTGGAATTTCATGTAAGGCCGAAGGCACCGCAAGTTTAACGGAGTGCGAGGTGAGGCGTATTGCCGTTGCCATTGTTTTGTCTTCGTCTTTCCATTCAATTGTGCTTTATTTTGAAGATCATCTGTGAATACATCTTGCACAACATCATACCGCCACAATGATCGCCACGCTCACACAGAAGCCGAGAAACGAATTGAAAGAAGAAAAAGGAATGTCAGCGTCACGGCGGCATCGACGACAACGCGAACTCCTCTGCACGGCAGTCACTCTGCGTATTATGACTGGGCGGCTTTCTTGTCGTCCGGGTCCAGAAAGTACCCATCCCGCATCTCTTCCCTCTCTCGTGCATGCGCCTGCTGCTGCGGCTCCGACGTGGTCACCATTCTCAAGTACTCCTGCTTCTTGTTGTCATCGCGCGAGAGCTCATACAGGTGAAACTCATCCGTATCGCTGAACTTTGTTAGCTCACGCCAGTATCGGTTCCACAGGTGGTTCAACCCACACCGCAGCAGCGTGCGATACGCCGTCGTGCACTGCGGGGTGTTTGTCTGCGCCTCCGTCTGCTGATGGGTCCGCATGCAGTGAAACAGCTTCTCGCGCTGCTCCGTGCAGTGCGGCTCTAAGCTAGCCGACTGGAGCACCGCCTCTTGGTTCTTCTGCGCGCTCATGCAGGAGACGTAGGCGTTGTGGGTCGACCGGCACAGCTTCTCGTTCACCCTGTTCTGCGTGTTCACCTCAAACACGGCGCTCGAGGAGGAAGAAGCCCCGGCCCCGCTGTCGCCATCGTCGCTGCGTCGGATGAGCTTCTTGTCCTCCAGACACGTCGTGTACTGATCCAGCTCCTTGTAGCAGATGTAGGCGTTGAGGTTCTGCCGGAGTAGGTGGCGGTTGTGCGCCTCCTCCACCCCTGCATCGCCGTCGGCGCCGCGGTTGGCAATTTCTTCGTTCTGCCGCACCTTCCACTCCTCGAACATGTCGAGCGAGAACTGGGACTGCTTCGCAGGGGTGCTGATGCGCCCCCATGGGTTTGAATAGGGCATGGTTCTCTCGCGGTGATCGCCTTTTGCGGGAGGGGTATTTTCGATTCCGCCGAGAGATTCTCTTTGGCGTTTGTGTGAATTTGATGAACTCAATCGAGATGACGTCTCTTCATAACCCCGCTGCTTGTTTTGAGGAGGGAAGTACTTTTTTAGCCCTGACGTTTAGAAAAAACAACTAGAGAAGAAGAAGGGAGAGAGAAAGCACCGGATGCGATGCGTCGAGGACGAACGCCTTGTGCGCTCCCCTGCGGTGCCACTCATGCAGAGGAGAAAAAAAAAGGACGACGAAAGCAAAGACGCGAGCCCCGAACTTGTTCCTCTAATCATAATACCGCTGAAGCCGCCTAGGTAATCTATCACAGCATCTTCCTTAAGTTGCACATCAACAAAGGCGCAGAAGGACGAGACACGCGGTTTTCATCTCGCTCTGAGGAACGTGTGAATTTATCCATATTTTTCCTTCTTTTGAATTTTTACAAACACAAAGCCTTGCTGCTCTCTGGTAGCAGAACGCTCCCAAAGGAGACAGTCAACGCACGGAGAAATCACTGAAAGGAAAAGTATTGGTCAAGTAAGTGTATGCTTACCCCCCTATCCAAGGCGAATACAACACAAACGGTCTCTTTTGGCTTCGTACGCAGCAAGTGAAAAAGGAGAGAACAACAAAGGCACTGGGAGACTTCACGTTGCATCACCCACGACGCTGGTGTTGCCCCTACATAATGATGATCTTCACCGTCACGCTTCTTTCTTTCTAAAAAAAAAAGATAGATAGATAGAAGAAGACAGATAAAAAAAAGCTGTCAGAAGCGATGAAGGAACATATTTGGTAGGAGCGCGCCAGAAGTTGTGGGTTGGATGATCGGAACTGTCTTGTCAGTGACCTCCCCCTCCTCCCGTCGTATCGAATACTGCACCGACACACACATCCCCGTGGGCAATGAAGTACCGCGCATGTAAACCCGCGAGTTGGGGAGGAGAGAGAGAGAGAAGGAGGTCAAAGAGACACGGGGGAATCACGCTCACACGTTGCAGAAAGAGGCGTCGCGCTGTGTTTCTTGGAAAACTCCTTCCACCTCACTCACACACACACACACACGACCGCCAAAAGCACGCGAGTCGTTCCGCTTACGTATGAGAAAGCTGTGTGTGTGTGTGCACAAATGGGTGGAAGAGCAACAGTCGGAACAGCACTCTTCGCATCGTGGAGGTGACCGGGTGGCTTCCACGCTCGATCCCCTTCTCACCTCTTCTTTTCATCTTTGGAATCTCAGTGCGCCAGGCCAATGCGCGAAGCAGCACGGCTTTGATCACACATACACACACGGAAGAAGAGAAAGAAGAAAAAGAAGAGGCGAGGTTAGAGGAGACAGGAACGGCAAAAGTTGACCGCACAGAGAGGAACATCAAAAACATGACTGCGCAGCGGCATTCTTAAGCCTTGTTCCTGCGCGGAGGGGCAGCACCCTTCTGAGCCGGCGCACGACCCTTCTGGGCCGGGCGGGCGGCGTCCCTCGCACCCTTCTGGGCAGCAGCAGGACGTCCACCAGCGGCAGCACCACCCTTCTGGCCCCTCTTCTGCGCGGACGCAGCCGCGGCACCCTTGGCAGCGACGGGCTTCTTCCCCTTCGCCTTCGACACGCGCTTCGGCTTGCCGCTCTTGATGCGCACGATGCCGCGGTCCACCGCGATGTGGTTGATCGCGTGGTCCGACTCGCCCTGCGCGCGCAGGTAGCCGTTGATGCACAGCGTCGTCGTCGTGCCGTTGATCACGCCGTTCGGGCCGACGTTCGCGATGGCGATCTGCACGGCTGCGTGGTCGTGGGCCTCGATCAGCGCGTTGGTCGCGTGGCACTTGCGCGGGATGTAGAGGTCCACGTTCTCGCCCTCCTCGTTGAAGGTACCGATGGCGGCCATGACTGCGGAGTGAAAGGGGGTGTATGGGTGGTGATGTAAGCACACTTCCATTAGAAAGGCGCACACGCATAGGATGGGAAGATGTGCAGTATCGAAGTTTACGGTGATGTGCACGGCGTCACAGGACGATTACGAAATGAGCGAGAGAGAAGAAACGAAGAGGAATTGAAGGTTGAAAAGAAAGAAAAGAAAAGCCTTCATCGTACTCGGGAAGATTGTGATGCAGGCGCCGCTCTGAAAGTGCAGCGGTGCTGATAGCGGCACATCAACCGCGCGTTTTACGCACCACAAATGCGGGAGCAGCTTCATAACAGACAGGAGAGGGGGGGAGAACGGAAAATGCCTTGAAAGGCTTCCTCCCCATGTACCTCTGCTGCCTCGCTACACCGTCGTCCCCGCAGCAGACATACGTGAATTAGAAGGAGGGTTTCTTTTTTTGGCAATTCTCGTTTAAGAGAAGATAAATAAATAAAAGTAGAAACAATAGAAGTAAAAGGACGCGAGTCCTATTGCTTTCACCAACTCAAAACCGCAAGAACAGCGGTAGCGCAGACGCAGACGTACTCCGGGGCAGGCAGAAAACACAGGTAGAAAACCCCAAAGGAGAGAGAAAAAATCGATCACGTGAAGTGCGAGATGCAGCCAAGGGCAGAGGAAACGACTTGGGCAGGGCACAGTTGCCGGTGACAAAGTGCAGTTCCCTTCCCTTCTGTGATCCCTCATGCTGTTTGCGCCTGCGCGGTATTCATCTCTTCTTCCTTCATCTACTGTGCATGCGCAGACCCCGCGCACGAGAGAGAAGGCGCTTCGGTCGAAGTGCAGCTTAAGCGCGGGGCTGCGCGGAGGGGCAGCACCCTTCTGAGCCGGCGCACGACCCTTCTGGGCCGGGCGGGCGGCGTCCCTCGCACCCTTCTGGGCAGCAGCAGGACGTCCACCAGCGGCAGCACCACCCTTCTGGCCCCTCTTCTGCGCGGACGCAGCCGCGGCACCCTTGGCAGCGACGGGCTTCTTCCCCTTCGCCTTCGACACGCGCTTCGGCTTGCCGCTCTTGATGCGCACGATGCCGCGGTCCACCGCGATGTGGTTGATCGCGTGGTCCGACTCGCCCTGCGCGCGCAGGTAGCCGTTGATGCACAGCGTCGTCGTCGTGCCGTTGATCACGCCGTTCGGGCCGACGTTCGCGATGGCGATCTGCACGGCTGCGTGGTCGTGGGCCTCGATCAGCGCGTTGGTCGCGTGGCACTTGCGCGGGATGTAGAGGTCCACGTTCTCGCCCTCCTCGTTGAAGGTACCGATGGCGGCCATGACTGCGATGGGTTTGCTGAGTGTGTGTTAAAACTGTATAGAGCAAACCAGAAGCGTCATCAGAGAAGTAAAAGAAAGGAGTAGGAGAAGGAATGCACGAGAACACAAGACAGAAACAAAAGAGTAGGAAGGAATAAGGGTTGAAGAGGACGTCGTGCGGGGGACATTCGTGCTGGGTTATGACGTGCATCAGCGCAGCTGGAGCGGGGGGGGGGGACACGTCGAATGCTCATCCAGTTACCGGAGCTTTACCAGAAAGTAAACAAAAGAAAAGGAACGCGTAGAGAGATCCTACTGATCGAAACGGAATACTCTGTGGCTGTCATAGGTGTCCGATGCCTGCCGCCGGAAATGGACGGGTGCGAGATCACGGAGGTCGCCTTGAGTTCCCTCTTTGAAATACCTACGTAGCAGACTCGCCAGCAACACCTTCTTTCTTGTTGCTGATCACAGCCGCACACGCAGGCTGTTCGCCCCTTTAACGTTAACAGCTTCTTCTTTTCGCTGTTCTTCTTTTGCGGTTGAACACGAACCGTGGCACGCAAAGAGAGAGCAAACGCCAGCACACACAACACACAAATATTTTTTAAAGGCTCTGCCGCAGCGAATGCGCCGAACCGGAAAGCAAAGGCGCCATCAGAGAAGGAAAAGAAACTCCGTCAGTCGCAACAAACACAGATGAAGTAAGGAGTAAATACAGAGCAAGAGAAAGAGAAAGAGAAAGACACGTATGACGAACTCAGATGATCAAAAAAAAACATCAAAACTCAAAAAAAAAATAGTAGTTCATGGAAGGAGAGAAGAGGAGATGAGGAGGAGAAAAAAAAACACCGTTTAAGAAGGACAGGAAGACTCTCAGCCCCCTCCTCCCTCCTCCCCCCTCTGTGTGTGCCTGTCGTGTACCGTACAGAGCACTGTGAAGCATCCAGCGAAGAGCACTGGCAACAACGACAGCAAGGTTCAGCGAGATTCGAAAGAAGAGAAAAAAATGACGGAGAAAAGCCCCTCCTCCCCTGCTGATGCGTAATCGTGTATGTGTGTCTGTGTGTCTGTGTGTGTGTGCTTATCCCTCACCACCCTACGATCCAGGCGGCGCGCCAAGGTTCTTCATCAGCTCATCCAAGTCAACGGCCGGCGTGACCGGCGGCGTTGGAGCTGCCGTGTCGTCGTCGGCCTTCAAATAACAGCAAATCGGCGGCTCCGTCGCCGCAGCACCGTCCTGCGCAGACGGCGTAGTTTGATTCGGCTGCAACGGGATGCCCATCACACTCGTGGCCGGCGGCTTCTTGTACAAGCCCTCGTCACACTGCGCCTTGGGGTTCGCCACCGCCGAGGCGAAGAGCGCCGGGGGAAAGTTTGGACTTGGCAGCGCCGTCGCCGGCTGCTCACCCACCCCGCCGCCCACGCTTGGCTTGTCCAGCAGGCCTGACCCGTTCGCGACCTGCAGCAGCAGCTCCGCCCGCTCGTAGTACATCTCCAGCCGAGAGCGCACCTGAAAGAAAAAGAAGCGGCGGGCGTCGCTGTTGCTGATGGCAGCCGCGTGCTGCGCCGCCTTGGTGGCGATGATCTCCATCGCTGTCGTGTAGTGCTTGACGGCAGTCATTGGGTTGCCGTCTTCTGTTTCCTCCGCCCGCGCAAGCTCAATTAACTGAGCAGCGTAGTTGAGCTCGTCAGCAGACATTTTGCAGATGTTGTTGTACCTGGTGTGTTCGCTATGCGGCGTCTGCGTGTTTGTACTTGCGTGAAGGAAGTCGCAACGGTTCGTGAAGGTGTCACACGCGGCCACGGGGAAGAGCACGAAACACCCCACCGACGACGTAAGCGATAGAGAAAGGCTATAAGAGAAAAGTTGAGGTCAAAACAAAGCACAACCAAACAATAATAATAATAATAATAATAACGCAGAAGAGAAACGGAAGGTGGTTTTTGAAAACCCGAAACGGTAAAGCAAGAAACTTTGCACGCGTGTTGGGTGCGAGACGCAGCAGCAGCGATGAGAAAAGCGAGTAAGAAGACAGAGAGCGAGAAAGCGGAATAGAATGGAAGTCACATCAACCAACACGCATTCGGGGAAGAAGGCCTTGCGTAAGCGTGCGTTCCTTTCTTCTTTTTCACGGAAGAAAAATGGGGAAAGAAAAGACACGCAGCAGGACAAACGGAGGCGACACATCAACGATGCTAGTATGCGTGGAAGTCCCGTCGATTGACAGCTATTTCACGCACACGTAAAGAGGAACAAAAAAACGCAGTTTGGGCGCGATGTTGTGCTAGTGCAAACTTCATGATTCTCTTTATAATTCTCCGTATAAATATATATATAAGGAGGGAAGAGAAGATATATAGTCGCATAAGTGCATCATACATACTTTACATGATGAAAGACGACGAGGTGCAAACAGAAGAAGAAACAAAAAAAGAAATGAAAAACAAGAAACGGTTTGCAGAGCCGCTTTCTTGCAGCCGGTAGGAACCTCTCGTCGCCTCTCAGACTACCAAGAATGAAAACAACAGAACCAAAAAAAAGCAATCGTTAAACATGAAGAGTGCTTCCGGCGCAAACAGAAAGAAAAACCCTCCATCATCAGTAAATTACATAAAACGATGTGATCTCCACAACACAGCGTACATCCAACCTCGCCAACGGAGGAGCGCCTCGATAAGGTGCCACCCATAACAACGACAACAAGAGAGGAAGGAAGCAAGGGGAAAAAAAAACAGGAACACCTGTGCTCTAGTGCAACTTGTGACGGTGCGGATCGGCCCTGTCGATCGCGATCGCCTTCTCCGTCGCCCGCATCCAAGTCAACACCGCCGTATCCTCCGCCGCAGCAGCGGCAGCAGGCTTCAGCGTGCCGTGTGAGTTGCGCAGCAGCCCCATCTCCCGCGTTGACTTTGTTAGCTGCCCAGCCATCATCTCGCCCGGCGTCGACGTGGGACACGTCAGCGTGTCGCGCGCATCCGCCGGCCCGGCCGGATTCCCCGGCAGCTCCGGTTGCTGGCTCTGATCCACGTAATCGCTCTTGTACATGGACATGTGCACGTGGTGCTCCTCCTCCAGCCGCCGGCTCACCGCACACCGCTTCTGCGCCTGCGCCGAGAGGAATTGTGGGTTCGTGCGGTCGTACTCCTCGCGCGGCGCACCGCCGCCGCTGCCGCGGACCGGCTTCGTTTTCCTGCCTGCCAGCGCGTGCAGCAGCGCCGCCTTGTCCGGGTAGGCCGTGACGTCCACCCCCTTCGTGGCGATGCTGTTCGCGAGGCTGACGGGCAGCTGGGACGGGTGGGCCTGGCTGACATCGCCGATGTCCCACGAGGTGCAGGAGTACATGCCCGGCAGCCCCGAGGCGGGCCCGAGCGTGCACGGCGGTCCGCAAGCGCGAGTCACCGTCGTTGGTGCGCCATCGAAGGTCACGGTCCATCCCATGGCCCCACTGCGCGGCAGCAGCGACTCTTTCGACGTAATTTTAGGTACGATGTCGGCCCCATCGTCTTCCTGCGCGTCGTGCGGCTTTAACAAATCCGCGTTGTACGCCGTTGCGGCGGCGCCTACGTAGATCGATGGGGCAACGGTAGATGGGAAGGGCGGCCCCGCCGCGCGTGCCGATATCGGCTGCGTGTAGTCCTCCTGATAGGCCGTCCGCGGCAGTGTGCCATCGTCGTTTACAAGGGACACCGTCAGCCCCGGTCGGTACCACTCCCGCTGGTACGCCGTGCCATTCTCCGTGCCGTCGGCAAGAGCTGCTGCTGGGCCGCCGCCTTTCACGCTCGCCACAAGACTCTGCATGTCCTTCACACTGCGATCCTTCGGGGTGTAGTCGACCTGGTAGATGGTGCGAGCGTCACGGTCGCCCTCCGGGGTGCCGTAGCCAAAGATCGGTCGGTTGCGCACGTCACCGCTGATGCCCGCATCAAAGGCGCCACCGCCGCCGCTGCCGTTGCCACTGCCGTCTTGCTCGCCATCGCGGTTGTAGTCGTAGTCATAGCGCGTCATGTAAAGCGACATCATGTTGGCCGGCCCATGAGGCGGCAGCGGCTTCACCAGGTCAACGGCGTCGGCGATGTCGTCCATCGTTGTTGTCGTCTCTGCTGGTGCTGGTGGTGGTTTTCTCTTGTAATTATCGTTTCTCAACGAGCGCTTCAACGAGGGCGAACGCGCTTGTGTACTCGCAGTAGACGCACGAGGCCGTTTGGCGGGGTTCAGAGGTATGGATAGAGCGAGAAAGACGTTGATACGCAGAGGTGTAGATATATATGTATGTGACCCCTTTGCTGGGGAAGAAATAAAAGAAGGAAGGAGGTGTCAACAAAAAGAAATAAAAAGGAATTGCAGAAGTATTCAATCGGCAGCGGTATAAAAATAAGGGAGGCATTTACAGCTGGTGATGGAGCTTTGTTGTTCTCGCTGCTGCTGTTTAGAAATGGAGGCTTTTTGCGACGCATGAAAGCAGGAGAGAGCGTTCCACTACCTCAACCGCGGATAGTACGACTTGTTGATGCTCCAAACAAAAACGAATAGAAACGGCAGCGCGCATCTAGCGCATCATACAGGACAAGAAGGACTGTCAACAGACGACGAGCGAAGTCATCCTTAGCCGGCAGCTTTTTCATCGTTTTTGTTTGTTTGTTCTCTTATCTGTAATTGCTTCGTCTTGACAGTCTTTCGCGTCTCCATTGTCGTTGTCTCTGCTGTGCAGAGCCCTTCTACTCAAGACAGCTGCATCGACCCCCTCTCTCGAGTTTTTCTTTCTTTCGTGAACTTCTTTCCTTTTCGCAATTCCACCGAAGTATCACACAACACGGAGAAGCGCAATGAGCTCGTCCACACAGAGGTCCTCAAACACGGTCGTTGATGCGCTTTCCTTGAGGTCCTGCACCGCCGCGTTGCTTCCATCGCCGCACCACGCCGCACGACAACGCCATCTACTTTCCGTAGCGGCCCTGACACGCACGAGGGGCTGCGCGCGGTAGAAGTCCAGTATCGGTTGGAGGCCACATAGTGGAGCTGGCGCATTCCCCTCTCTCCCCTTCTCCCCTGCAAGCGAGCCGGTAGACGACACCGCAGATTTCTTCGCGTGACCGTCGGCAGGCTGGCGAAGGGCGAAGACGGCGAAGGCTTTCATGAAATTTGTAAACGGTGCCGGCGTGACGGCGGCCGACGCGGCCGTTGACAGCGGTCGCAGGTGAAGTGACGCATCCGGGGTGTCGCCGTCGTAGGACCGCCCGTCGCCACGCGGGACGCCACGCCGCGGCGCCGTGTGCCCATCCGCCGGCCCCGCCGGAGGGGAGTAGGACGGAGTGAAACCTTCGTGAAGGAGGGCGTCGTTTGCGTGCGTGGTGGGGGGCGTGGCGAGGGCCTGCGGAGGCGCTGGAAGGGTAGCGGCAGCAGCAACGCCGCTCGATTCGGAAGCGTAGTACGACTCCGGCATCACCGCTGCCGGCGACGCGGAAGAACGCGCGGCGCTCGCCTCGTGTGCGGTGGTGGGTGCTGCTGCTGCTGACAGTCCCCCTTCTCCACTTGACAGAGGCACGCCATCCTCGACAGCAACGGCAGGAACAGCGACACGAGTATTGACCTCCTCCAGAAAGCTCGGGCCGCCTCGTCTATCGATCCCCTCTTCGCCCGCACGATGGAACGCATTGGATGGAACTCCCTCGTCTTCCTGGTCGCACTCCGACTGCAGACGGCGCGCCAGAGAGGCCGAAGGCGTTGGCAGGATGCTGGGGGTGTGGTCGGAGGACAGCACCTGCGCCGAGCCAGAGTATTCGTTCTCGTCCCTCACGTGTGCCGTGGGCAGCGACGAGTCCTCGAAGGGTGTCCGCCGGCGCTGCTCTTCTGCGTCCGCCACGTGGTGCGGAACAGCGGGTAGCACGCCGACAGGCGGGACCGCCGTTGTCGGGGTCGCACTCGCGGACGTGATCGTCACCTCCTCCGCGGGGGCCAGCAGCGACGTGGTGGGCAGCGGAACGGTCTCGTCGTCATCGTCGTCACCGCTGTCGCCGTCTTCCGCCTCTCCCGGCGCTTCCGCTGCCACGTCCTTTCTGAGCGACTTGCCAGCCGCCAAGTCAGGTGCGTCCTCTTCCACGAAGATGCTGGTCGGCCCTAGATGCACCGGCACCTCCTCCACACCACCCTGGGCTGTCCCTTGTGGTATGATTGAGTCTTGGCTCATGACCGCCCCAGCTGCCGCCGCCGCAGCGACAGGAGCAGGGGCAGCTTTCAACGTCGCTTCGTCTTTGCTACGCTGCGGTGCCACAGACGGGGCTGCAGCCCCGCACGATGCCTGCGGTGGCGGTGCGGAAGGAGAAGAATCCTCCAGCGGCAGGGCAGGTGGCGGCAGAGGCGCGCCGGCCACCTTGCGAAAGAGCTCGGCCACCTCCGCGACGCCTCTATGAATCGGAAACAGCGTTGCCTGACTCGCCCCATCAGTCAACACGACCAGCACGTTGCGCTGGTACGCACCCATCACCGTCATCGCAACAGCGGCAGTGGTCGTAGGCGACTCCTCCTCCTTCATTTCCTTGATCTCCGCAAGGGGTAGACCGGGATGATGATTGCTGTTGTCGTGGGACGACGGCAGCGGCGATGACGGCGCAATGCGCTGCACGAGGCGGTCACCGTGTGCAACGCCGAAGTGCGTCTCTAGCACGGTGGGCTTCGCCACACACTCCAGCATGACCCCGAAGCGGCCGGGCACAAACACCATAGTGCCCTTCTTCACGTAAAGCGGCGCCTGCCCTGTCGATGAGATTGCCGTTGCAGCAGCAGTAGCAGCGGCAGCAGCTGTGGAGGTGATGTGCGTTGGAGGCGTATCGTGGGCCTCACCTTCCTCTGCTGGATGCGGCGGATGTGTCCGCAGGTTTTCCCCCTCGGCTTCATCTCCTTTCTTCTCGCTGTCCGGGTGGAACACCGTTGCGGACGGGGACAGCGCAGTCGGAGGGAGCGTCGCCGTGGAGGACGGCCGCCGCTCCTGCTGCTCCTGCTGCTGCTGAGGTGGTCGTTCCGCTGCGACGTCTACCAGTCCATATCGCCCACGAAGATCTCGCGCGTCGTGGCAGGACACGAGTGGCACGACGTACCCGCGTGGGTCCTTCCAGCGGTACCCTGGCGGCGGCGCAGCCGACACAGCCGCGGTGGTGGTGGTGGTCGTCGTCGAGGCGTGAGAGGCAGAGGCGGAGGAGGTGTGGGGGGAAAGGGCAGTGCCGCGTCTAGCCCCCTCCGCAGCAGCAGCAGCAGCAGAAGCATCATCAGCTTCTTCTTCTCCGTTGGCACCTCGTCGAGACACGACCACCTCACGCACCCACGGCACACCACAGGCGACCCCGACAAAGACCACCTCTTCCTCCACCGGCCGGGCAAGCTGATAGACCTTGGTCGGTACCACTTGAAAGATCTGTGGAAGACTTAAGGCAGGGATGTGGCCAATAGCGGGGAAGTGCCACCGCAGCGGAGGGCTGAGATACGCGTCGGGGGAGGTTGAGCACAACGACGACGACGAAGGCGGCAGCGCTGCTGCTGCCGTTGCAGCCGCTGGTGGACGAGGCTGCGGCGGTGCGAGGAGGGAGCCGTGAGAAAGTGTGTTGGAGACGCGACGAGGAGGGGAGGAGACGTGGCTGCTCTGGGCTGACTCAGCGTTGCAGTCGAAGGACCAACGAGGGAGAACTGGGAAGCGCTGCGGGGATGCCGCTGCCGCTGCTGTGCCGTCGTTGCGGTGCTGCTCGCCCGCGTCTTTCTCTTCTTGCTGCTGAGCCTCCGAGTAGAGATGTGTGAGTTGTGTGACAGGGCACAGTAGCAGCGGCAAGGGGAACAGCCGCCACGACGACAGCGGCGGCACCTTCTGGGCAAAGGGCACCGCCATGAGGTAGGCCACCGCACCGGCGCTGTCGTAACCCATCAGCATTACACGGTGATAGTGAGCCGCCTCGGACCACAGCTGCGGCTGCTGCTGCGATGAAGACGGCACGTTGGTGCGGTCGCTGCCTTGGTGCCGCTCTTCCGCTGACAGTTGTGGCGTTTGCTGCTGCTGCGGTAACTGTCCGTTAAAAAGCTTCAGCGCACACCGCGTCAGCGTACGGTCCAGCTGCGCGCCGTCCTCCTCCCGCACGGTGAGCTCGATGCCGTGTTCCATGTTGGGTGGCAAGACCGCGTCGCCGGAGTTCATGCTCTGCAGCTCCGCCTCCGCCTCCGCTTCTCTTTCCTCTTGCTTGTCCTCTGGTAAAGCCGGTGGCGCAACCCCCTTGGAATCCTTCGCCTCCTCTCGTTGGCCTGCTGCATCGCGTGCGTGGCCGTCTCCCTCAGCCGCGATGGGTGTTTCCTGCGCCGACGGCGATCGCGACGACGCGGACGAGGCGGACGACGCAGAATGCACGAACTCCACCTCAAAGTCATCGGGCGGGACGGACGTTGTCGTCAGCACGTGCAGCAGCGACTTCTCCGATGCCTCTCCCCCGCCTGCCGTGCGCTGCAGCGACGGCTGCGTCGCTCCAGTGGTGCCGTTACGTGCGACAGGAGGGAGGGGCTCGTTCCGGGCATTTGTATCCTCCAACTGCGGGCGCGGTGGTGCGGATGGTGGTGGCGGCGGTGACAGGGCCACGCTGTGTGGCGAGCACAACGTTGGGGAGAGGTGGAGGAACGCGCTTGCGCCTTGCAGAGTTACGAGGTGGACGCGTCCGCTGGTGGGTGGGGCCTCGCCGGGCTGCCCGGCCTGCGGTCGCTCGTAGCCGACGAAGGTGAGGAATTCAAGCCGCAACTCGTCCATGAATTATTCCGTTGAGAGGGAAACCTCACGAGTGAAATGCTTGTATTTGTGCGGTACTTTTATCCCCCAAATGCTTAATCCTCTATTAATGAATTAGGGTTTTGTTGGTTTTGTAATGAAGAAGAGGTTACCAAGGCCCAAAGACACGCCGATAATAATAATAATAAGCGTTAGTGAAGTGCGAATAAATGAGCTACACATAAAGAAAGCGCGACTGCTGAACTGCTTGGCACGGTGCAGAGAAGGTGGCGCATACAGAGTATTTCCTTTTTAAGGAAAAGGGCGGTGTGTGAGCCGGGCAGGCAGATGAAAGAAGTGTACAATGGAGAGGTGTCGTTAAAAGCGGGTAGACAGAGACGTCGGCGCAAAAGCAAAGGTGAAGTCTCACAAGGGAGAGAGAAACCGCGAGAAGACACACAGGTGAAGCTGCTCAGAGAAAGGAAAGGGGAGAGACAACAAGCAACGGCACTCATTTCAACTGCTTTTCGATTCAGCTTCAACACAGAATAATAAGAATAAGAATAAGAATAATAGTCGCATCCGTTTTAGAGACCCCAAGCGAGGAAGAAAAAATCGTCATCTTGCTTTTCGCAACTCAAAACCTTGGCGTGTTCAGCAGCATTAAAAAAAAGGGGCTCTCTCTCTCTTCCTCGGTGGTTCAGTGCGTTGACGGCGAGAACCAGCGACCTCGTCAGAGCAGCAACGAAGGAGAGGTCTCTCTGCTATTACTCCTATTCGTCTTGATTTGCTTTTGTATTTGTGGATGTTCTCCACTTTTGACCGCGCTTTGAGATCGTCTCTATTCTAAAAAGAAAAAGGAAAAGAAAAGAAGAACGCCGCGAAACAGCAGAAACAGGTTCTCCCACTGGTGGAGCTTTTCTCTTTTTTCAGCAGCAGCGTCGTTCTCTCTCTCCTCCCCCCC